AGAATCTGAGCTGGAAATGTGAGTACAGAGGTACCTGGGAGAGTGCTGGTGGGAACACACCTGTGAGGGAGTGAGGGGGACAGGACTGGCCAGAAAGAGAAGCTGACCACGACACAGCTGCAACAGGGGCTCAGCAGAGTCCATGGGGAGTCCTGGAGCTGGACAGCCATCCAGGCTGCTGCACTCTGGTACGTAGTTGGATTTGGCTGTCCCAGAAGCAAGATAACTTCAAGTGAGGCAGCTCCTTGCAGCCAGCAGCAGCAACTCCTGGAAGGGCTTCTGCTGTGAGCCCTCGGCAGACAGAGTCCTGGCAGCTGGACACGAATGCCTGTGTCCTGAATGGGGTGGTGTGTCCACTGCAGCACCTGAAAGCAACCCAGGTGAATGGGGTCGGAGGGAATGAGGGCAGCTCAGGACCCTTGGGCAGGAGGAGACTGGCAGAAAGACAGCCTTAAGAAAGACTCAACCAAAACAGATTAGGCCAGATGGTTAGGGCTTGAGTGCCAGGAGAAGGACATAGGCTTAGTCCCTCCTGAAAAGGAGAGCAAAAGTTTTGGGCCAGATTATTTTGGAGTTGTAAAGAGACTGTGCAGCCATGAAGGGGTCCTAATTTCCAAAGTGTCCCTTTGGCTGACTCTTCCGCAGACTCCTCCTAACTGGCTGGCTTTGGCCAACACACACACACACACACACACACAACTGCTCCCTCCCCCAAATCAGCTCCCTTCAAATTGTCACTCCCCACAGTGCTGCATTCATGCATCAGTTCTAAATAGTCCCACTGTTCAGCTTTAACGAGAAGTAATACCAATTCCCATGTTTGCTCAGAGAGCACCATATTTCATCAAACCAGAGCCCATGCCGGCTCAGATTACTGACCGAGACAATGTTCTGTAATCCTGGTTTATTCACATGTCACGGATATTTTAGCAAAACAGAAATGAATGGCCCGCGCCACCCTAGGAAGTAACGGGAGAATTGGGTTCCCGCCCAGGGGAAGTCGTGCTTTTGCTTGCCACAGTTCTCAGAGGAGCTGACTTTGATTCTCTGAGCTTTAAGAAAGAGAATATGGGCTGAGGAGGAGTCACAAACTGGGTAGTTATTTCCCTATAAAATGTTAGCTCCACGGATTGTTTTTGCCAGAGCAAAAATAAAATCTGTCATTGATTATAAAGTCCTTTGTGCTTGTTATTTCACAGATTTATTACACTCTGGCCGGGCGGCCTGGGGAGGCCCTGGGATTCTTTTCTCGAGCGTCCCACAGCTCATGCCCCAAATGGGAACAGGCACTCACTTGCATTTCTTTTGTCTTTGAGGGGCAAGAGCTTTGAATATCTAGATGTGAATCATCCTCCCAGTTTTTGGACAGGGACCCACAGACATGGACAATAATAGTTCTTTGGTAGAGGTCTAGGACTTCCTCACCAAGGAAACATGCAAGTGCTATCTGATCTGTTCCTTTTCAGCTCTTGGTGCTGCGTGCTAAGCAATGTATTTTCTCTGCAGAGCAAGGAATAGCCAGGCTCGAATCTCTCACCAAATCTCCCAGAGCCTGAATCCACCTTAAATGTGCCACAAACTCTTTCATACATTAAATAAAGAGCAGTCATAATGACCAATGCAATTTAGCACCATCTCACATTAAAACCTTGCAGTCCTCATAATAGCCTGCTCATGTCTCCACCTTGGAGCTGAAGAAACCGAGGTCCAGAGAAGGCAGCTCACTTGCTCAAGGCCACACAACTAGACAGTAGTGGACATAGGGCCATGTACCTGCCCCATTTGATTCCACAGATTCATGTTTGTAAACTCTCTCACTTCCAAGAATGGATTGACATGAGGCCACAGGCCCAGACGCAGGGTGTGGAGTCAGCCTTCTCTTTTACACAAGAGGCTTCCAGGACTCCAGAGAGGTGGTGGGGCTGCCTCTGGGTTACAGAGCTGGTTAGAGTCACAAACTGGCTCTGCCACAAATTAACTGGATAATATCATGAAACAATTGCTTGGGAACATTTCACTTGCTATTTATTTCTATTTATTTGGGGAGAGGTTCTTGATGAAACCAAATGAGCTTGCTTTTCAGAACAAACCAGGGTTTGCTTTTCTTCCTTACTCAGGCTTCATACTCAGCTTCATAACTATTAGGGGTCTTCACTCCTTGCTTGTGACTTCCGGAAGGAAACCCTGCTACCCCAGAGTGCCAGGCAAAGAGGCCTGGAAGACTGAGGGTCCCCGAAGCACCTTTCACCTCTCTGGAGAGGGTGCTCCCCACCCAAATTGGCAAGTTGAAGACCTTGTACCCCTGGTAATCACCGTGTACTATACTTCCAGGACCAGGATGACTGTGTAGGAAGCTGTCAGAAACCATAGACCTGAAGACTTGAGCCCCCAGTCTGCCATCTCAAGCCTTATTTTGAGCTGCGGCTTGAGCTATTAAAAACAAAACATTCTCGTTGGCAAACTCCACAATTAGCCTCATTTCCATGCTAGAAACACCGTTCTGCATGAGCTGAAATTGCACAGAGATTGTTTCTTGTCTTAGCGATGCAGTTTTGAGGGCTGTGCTGGGAGCCAGCGAGGATGTGGCCCAGTGGTAATCTGAATTGCTTCACCAAACACGTTTTTATCCCATCATCCCAGCTACAGGAAGGGGGCCACAGTGCTTGTGTTCAAGACTTTACAGTCCCGCTGCTCGGCAATAAAATGCGGCAAGAAATATTAGCCATCCCTGGCTGATGCCTTAATTCCCTCCCAACAATGTCAGAGAATCTGTACCCTACAGGTTTTAGTGCTGGCTAAAGCCTGACCCTCAGGCTGGCTTGAATGGAGCCAGAATGAGTTAAGGAGAGCCAGAAGGCTTTAATGGACATGGATCCGAATAGCCCAGCTTGTGTGGGCCTCCTGCAGACTCACCCTCCTTTTCATAGGCCTCGATTGTGTATGGCCTCAGCAGAGACAAAACTACCCATGAGCAGAGGTTACCCCCAGCCGGTGCAGGTCAGAGGCATTCTCGGGGAGAAGGAGAGAGGGGGGCAGAGGGGAAGTAAGGGGCACATGGAGAAGGAGGGAAGTGGGGGTGGGGTGGGGGGAGGAGCAGTAAAATACAGTTCATTCCGGATCACTTATAAAGAGAGACACATCAATCCCAGGCTGCAACTTGATCATCTCACCTTAGGCAAACCAGTTCTGAAAACCAGTTCACAGAACAAATGGGATTTATACTAATAGGAAGTTGAACGCAATGAGAGCTAATTTTCAAAATAAATAAAATGCTTCTCTCTAGTTTTCCAAAGGCTACAGGCCTGAGGTTCAGAAGCTTTTAATGGAATGGCCTCTAATTTGACACTGCAAGATTGTGAAAAATTACAAATGGGTTGTGTTTTACACACCGACAGAAGCTTTTTCCAGCAATTTACAATTATTGCATTGTGAGCCCTCCAAGAAAAGTAACTATTTTGGCTCACAGAGCCCAAACTTACCAAGTAAAAAGAACACCATGTTCACAAGTTTGCAAATAGTCCTTTGACATGTAGCATAGACAGTATTCGGGACTCTTTCTGGAAGAGCATGGATTTGAAGATGACCCTTCCTTCTCTTGCAACAATTCTTAAACTTTTTGGGTGGGCCTGGGGCCCCTTTTTAGCCTGGTAAAGCCTGTGAAACCCTTCTCAAAAGAATGTTTTTAAATGTATGAAATAAAATATTCAGGGTTACAAAGGAAGCAAAATAAAATTAAAATACAGTTATCAAAAATATTTTTTAAAAACAACTTTGCAACACAGTAACATAATATATGTTTCTTTGTATTAGTTCATTAACCAACTAGCAACCGGGCCCAACAATCATTACAATTTCAAAGCAGTGATGAGTACAAACTATACTTTGAAAAATCTGCAGCAACTCCTCTGTGACATGAAAATGTCTATGGACGGTGCCCATTGTTGACAGAGTTGCTGACATCACTGTGGCTGGTTTCCTGCGTTTATATTAGGAAGTGCTATGTTTTAGTAAGAGTTAGTGAAAATAAAGATGTAATTTTCCCCATGAAGTTCACAGAGCGCCTGAATTCTATCCATAGAGAAGAAGCCCTGATAGAGTCAAGACAAAGTGCAGGACCCTCAGGACCCAGGGTGAAGTGAGGGGCAGTAGCCAGGGACTCCCTGTACCCTCTCTCCACTGGGAACCCTTCCTGGGAAAGCCACTGCTTTCTCTCCGCCTGCTCTGATACTTTGGAAATGTTTTTAAAAGCAAATTGAAAGCATGTCCTTTTTCTGCAATCCTGAAGGCCACATGTCCAAAGATTAATAAGGACCTTTGATGTGTTTCATCAATCCTTGTTGCCAAATAAAGGGTCAGTTAATCAGCTAATTCTGAATTTAATCAGGATCTTGTTCCAGTTGCCTTAGGCTGACTGAGCTTTGGGGTGAGGGCTTTCTTTTCACGGCCTGCTCAGGGAAGGTCCGTGTTCCCTGCATGCTTGCATTTTGGACACACACTGACTCACAGGCACTTGGGCTCACACACATCCCCTCTCAGGTCCTCACTGGGGAGCTGTCATCTTGCGACCACAGAGCCATCACAAGCAATTGCAGGGCAACCCAGCAGGCAGCCCCCTGCAAGCGCCGCCCAGCCCCCTTGCACCCCAGCCAGGCTGTGGCGCCACCGAGGAGCCAGCCGCGGGGCTGGGGCTCGGACTCTAGGGAGGGGATCGGGGAGAGTGCTCGCCCACGCCCACGGCCCCCACACTCGCGGGCGCACACCCCGGCGCGCGCACGCCGCCACACTCGGGCGCACGCACACCGCAGCCGGCCGGGGACGGCCCTGTCTGCGGCAGCCCGGAGCGGTCGGGCGCGCAGCGGGTACCTCCGAGGGCGCCGCCCCGCCCCGCCCCGCCCCGCCCCGCCCCGCCCCTCGAGCCCGCGGGCCGGCGCGCGGTGGGCTGCAAAGTTTCGCGGCGCGAGTCTGCCGAGGCAGCGCGGCGACTCGGGCTCGGCTCGGCTCTGCGCTGCTCCGGACGGCCGTGACCGCTGGCCGGGGACTCCGGCGGCCTGGACTGCCCGACCGCGCGCCCTGCTGCCCGCCCCGCTCCGCCCCTCGCCCCGCACGGAGCCTGGTACCCAGCGCCCCGCGCCCCAGCTCGCAGGCTCCCCGCGCGCCCTCCCACCGCGGGGTCGGCCCGCAGCCTCCGGTGCGCCCACGCTCTCCCTCCTCCTGGGCTCCTGCCCTTCGCCGCCCTCGCCCCGCCATGGCTCGTGGCCCCGCTCGGACCAGCCCGGGACCACCGGGGCCTCAACTGCTGCTGCTGCTGCCGCCGCTGCTTCTGCTGCTGCTCCGGGGCGCGGGGGGCAGCCACACAGCCCCTGCCAGGGCCGCACAGTCCGCGGCCGCCCACGGGCTCCCGGGGGACAAGCACCCCCAGAGACCCCTGGGGGACTCGGCCGCCACGCTGGGCCCTGTCGCCCAGGACGTGGTCGCTGTCCACATGCTCAGACTCTATGAGAAGTACAGCCGGCGGGGCGCGCGGCCAGGAGGGGGCAACACAGTCCGCAGCTTCCGGGCCCGGCTGGGTAAGTAGAGGTGCCCGGAGGACCCGTCTTCTTGTTCTCCCTTCCTCACTGGGCCGTCCTCCCCACCCTGGGCCTCTGCTTTCCCTCTTCCTTCTATTCATCCCGTCGTTCGTTCTTTCACTAACAATCTCCTGAGCTCTCTACGCCAGGCCCTGAAGCTCCAGTGGGGACACCAGAGTGGCCCGGCATGGCACAGTGTTCCTGCCCCGGGGGTGCTCCCACTCTCGCCGACCACAGACTACCCACTACCCCGTACAAAAGGCTCGCGCACAGGTGGAGAGGGGACATGGCCTGGGCGAATACCTGTGTCATAGGGTCAGTTGCAATGGCACTTGGCAGATGAGGACAGTATGGTCAGGTGGACACAAGGCTGCCCTGGTGGCAGTGCCAGGCAGTGAGCCAGGCAGGAAGCATGAAGCTCCAGCGGGGGCAGTTAGGGTTTCTGTAGCAGGGAACAGAGTGGACTGAGAAGGCCGCGGGAGGCCTGGGGCTGAGGACTTTCAGGCATGGACATGAAGTGTTCAGACTACAGGGCTTTGAGGAAGGGTCCAGAAGTATGGGCAATGAGAGCACCCCACCTCTCTCTGTCCTTGCCCCGCCTTCCCGCTTTTCCTGATCCCTGGCTGGGGTTGAGCGGAGGCCCTCCCTGCCCTGTCCAGAGAACCTTCCAGGCTCCAGCCTCAATTAGCCTATCAGCCTTTGCAGCCTTTGCAGGCCCTGCGCGGACAGAGAGGAGATGCAGCTGGGGATGCAGGGGTGTGGGAAGACCTTGGTTGTCATAGTGACTACTCCTGGTGGCAGAATGCTGTTCCAGAAAATGTGGGTGGGGGTCCCCTGCAGCCCTGTGGGGGATTAGGCCATTCATCAGGAGAAAACCCTCAGTCTGCAGCCCCCCTCCTGAGAGGAGGGGACAAGCCCAACTTTGGGGCCAGACAGCCTGGGGTCAGATGTCACTTGCTGCTCCCTGGCTGTGTCACTTGAGGTAAGATCTGTGGCCTCAGATCCAGAAGTGGGAAGCTTAGCCTCCCATAATTGCGGGCTGGGGAGCACCTGCCACAGGGAGGCCCGTGCCCTTGTCCTCCACTGAGCAGACTCCCTGGTTCAGTGTCCCTGGACTCCAGGCCAATCGAGTCTAACTCCATCCCCCTGGTACCTTTTATTCACCACCTGGGGTCCATTTCTGGAGCAACATTATTAAATTAAGCCACTTAAGAATCATCTGGCATTAATATGACCTTCTGTAAAGCACTCAAGTTATGTGGCCTTGAGTGCATTCATCTATAAAATGGACAAGGCTTGCCAGTTCCTCCCCTGCAGGGTGGCAGGAAAGGTGAAATGAGGTAATATGTGTAAACCTGGAACCCAGTACTGGCCAGATTAGGTGTTGGTGCATGTTATTCTCCTGGGAGTACAAAGCAATGTGCTAAGTACTCTGCGCTCATATGGATTTGAACTTGACCTTGCTTGCCCATTAACTCAAACTTGAATCCTTTCAATTGAGGAAGCAAGGCCAGCAAGGTCACTGCTGTAGCAAGGGAAGAACACACCCTTCGAGCCCACCCACGTGCTGCTGCCGGGCATGGAGGGGCATTTTCGCAGAATGGGTAGTACAATAGTGGAGCACAGGGCGTTAGCCCCCAGAAGGGCCTGGAGACAGGACCTCAATCCAGCACTTCCATTTTACAGACGAGGAAACTGAGGTGGGAGGTGTTATTCACAGTGGCAGTGGTTGTCACCTCTTGTCTGCAAGGCCATTGTTGTTCTCACTGCCATCCCTACCCCTCACCATTTCCATCAGAACTAAGCCCAATGTCTGGGAGGGGGAGTGTGGAACAGACAAATCTGGGAAATCAGAATTCTGGTACAGTCTGGAGCTGTCTGACACATCCTTCTTCTTTGGAACCCTGAGGCAAACTTGGGCATGAATCCCAGCGTCACTAGCTGCTGGCTGGGTGCAGTGGCATAGTTACTTTACCTCTCTGAGCTTCAGTTTCCTTGTGTGTACAGGAAGGAGGCGAGCATTCAACGGGATAATGTAGGTTTCATGCCTGGTATAGAGTGGAGGCCCAGGCACATTGGTTTTCCATCCCCCCACTTGATTCATTTAAGCTGTTTCATACCCAGCCCCTTGCCAGCCCTCAGATGTGCCTGCTTCCTGACCACTGGCCCCTCTGTGAGAAGGCGTGAGCTTCGGCAGGGACCTCAGCTCATGGGTGAAGCCACTGATACGGGAGGCTCAGCTGTGGTCCTGGAACATACCAGTAGCAGGCTACCCCACGATGGTGGGTCTCTGCTGCCTCAGTGGGGCGGCACCTCTTTCCAAACAACAAACGCACGCATCGCTGCCACCCTTGGCACAGTGGCTGTGTTACTCGCCTGCCACCGAGCAATGTAGCTCAGCTGGCAAGTGTGGCTGTGAGCTGGATTGGCAAGGTCCAAATCCCAATTCTGTGACCTGGGCAAGGGACTAAACTTGTCCATGACTCAATCTTTTTCACTTCTAAAACGGGGCTATTAATGCTGCCTTGCTTGTAGGACTTTTTAAAATGGGAACTGTGATATGTCAAGTGCTCAAACCATTCCTGGCACGTGTGCCAACAATTTATTAGCTCTTACTTTAATTACACCAGCACCCCTTTCCTCCCTCCCCTCATTGCTCCCTGAAGTGCACTTTGTTCCCTATTAAGTCTGCTTCGTGGAGAGCACCTTTGAGCTTGACCCTAAGGGGTAAGGCTGGACCACCCCCCACTCCCACTGAATGACCTATGTTTAAATCTAAGCTCCACCACCTACCAGTGTGATACACTGAGCTTGTTTTCTTCACCTCTACAATGAGAGTAGTACTACATACCCATCTGTCAAGAATGCCAAAAGTCAAGTTCCTTGGTTACCCAATATTTCCTAAGCCCCTGGTTTGGTGGCAGGTGCTATAAGCTTGGAGGACACAAAGACACATAGTGTATTGGCCTTTCTCAGAAAAGCTCCAGAGCTGGCAGGGCAGGTGGAAGTAAGCAGGAGAATAGGGTGGTGGGCCTGGTGGGCGGGGTCTGCAGGCGGGGCCAGGGAGCCTTAGCAGAGCACCCGGCCCAGCCCACTTGGAAGGGCAGGTGGTGCTGGCAGGGTGTGGAAGTGAAGCCCCGCGCTGTATGCCAGGACTGCGAGGAGTTTGGTTTTAATGAGGAAGTACTGTGAGGAGGGAGAGGCAGGAGGTGGAGCTGGACAAGTAGGTGGCATCCAGGCCATCAAGAGCCGGCCATGAGAATCGTGAGTGTGCCAGTAGGCGATGGGGCAGTGTACAGTATGGGAGCATAGAGCTGTCAGGGAGAGAGGAGAGAGAGGGGACAGGGATATATATGTATTTACAATGTTTTTACCCTCATGGGATTATATCTTCAACATGCAGGGGAAGCGTGCAGGCATTCCCATTTGAAATTACCTTTTTTCATTACTGATTGTCTGAACTGTGTCCCATGGCTATTGGCCCCTTGCAGTTTTCCTGTGGAAACTGCTTCCTCCCACTGGGGTCCTTGTCTTTTTCCTGCTGATCTGCAGAGGCTCCTTCCACAGGAGAGGTCGAGGTAAAGAACCTCCACCTCTAATACATGGTTTGCTTCCAAGGTACATGTGTGGCATAGGGGTGACAAAATTCTGGGGCCACTGGTGTGGCTGAGGCCAGGCCTGAAGGTGGGGTGGGGTGGGTGGGAACGCTGAGTTCAGGGTGGCCGTGCAGGACGCACTGGATGCAGAGCCACCAAGGCCCCGAGATTGGTCAGCAGCAGGAGGGGCGGGAAGGGAGGATTCCGGGAGGGGAGTTCTCAGGCTCCTGCTGGAGGGTATCAGGCCTCCCACTGAGAAGAGTTGGGGGGTGGGTAAAGGTATGCTGTCCTGAGGGTGGCTGCAGCTCCTGGGGCCACCTGCAAGGTATCTGAGCTCCTGCTGGGTGCAGACACCGTGCTGGGTGGGCTCTGCAGAGCCGATCTCACAGCAACTTTTGGTGGTTCCTACAACTACTCTGCCTAATTTACAGATGAGGAAACTGGGGCATGACTTGCCTAAGGCCCTATAGCTAGTAAGAGGTGCAAACAGGAGTTAAACCCCATCCCTGAAGCCTGTGAGGAAACAGATGCTCAGTACCTGCTAGTCCCCTGCCCTTCTTCACAGCATCGCTGGCCAGTGATGCTCTTCCTTCCTGTGGCTTCTGGTGGTGCTTCATCTCCACTCTGCCCTCACTCAGCACTCTCACTCTGGCCAACCTGAGGGCGGTTTCAGGGCCAATGATGAGGGCACCAACCTCCAGGTGACTTGTATTCTGCACCTGTGTGAAGAGCTACTCTTGGCCTGAGGGTTTGCCAGCAGGGAGCCTGGAGAGACCATTGGGCCAGGAGGCCCCTCCCCAGTGCCACCTCCCCTTCCCTAGGAAGGACACTGAGTGCCCATCAAAGTGGTCCTGGTCACAATCCTGAGAATTCCCAAGATCCATAGAGAGATCAACTTGCCTAAATTAAGTCAGTTTCTTCTTAGAGAGTCAGAACTCAAAAACATCCCCACAATGACTTGGGTTTGACATGCATGTTGCAGTGCACAGTGTGTGATCTTTGTCCATTCACTCTTTGGCAGACCATGGTCACATCCAGAGCACATGGGGGCAAGGGGTGTGGGCTGGGGTCAGACACACCTGACTCTGCCCCTTGCTGGCTGTGTTATGTAAACAAGTTATACGCCCTCTCTGAATCTCCAGCTCTTCACCCACAGAATGAGAGACCCAAGAACACTCAGCGCAGGGCCATGCACATATGCTCGGTGCTCTGAACACTGTAAACTAGTTCTGTTCAGAGAAACAATATTATTCCTATTTAAAAATGAAAAACCCAAGGCTCCAGGGGAAGTTAGTGGCTAATGATCTGGCCACCCAGTGTCTGCAGTTGGATTTGCATCACCAGTTGTTTCTTTCCAAAGAATGAGGCTTTCTGGACTGTTTAAGGATGTGGTTAATGCGCTCCAAGGCAGAGGGCCAGGAACCCCCTATGAACTGCCCACTCCTCCCCTGTCCCTGCTTGGGCAAGTTTAAAACAAGAGCCCATCACTCAACGTGTGTCTCTGAGCACCAGCTGTCAGCCAGGGCTTGTGCTAGGGTCTAGGGGTGCAGCAGGGAACAAAACGTGGCCCTGTCCTCTTGGAGTTTGTGCTCTGGGGGAAGATGAGCCATAAACAAGTCAGTCTACACCACCACGGCAGGAGGTGCCGTGAGGGCAAAGGCAGCAGGGGCTAAGTGCTGGGGCTGCTCCTCCAGGCGACAGCCAGGCGACCCGCTGCTGTAGGGCCTGGGGGTACCTAGATGGGGGAGCTTGTGAAGGCAGACAGAGCAGTGAGGCTGAGCCCTGAGACAGAAGCCACATAGGGGAAGGAAATGAAGGCCAGTGTCACAGGGCAGAGGCATAGGGGGAGGGTGGGTGAGAGATGAAGTTGGAGAGGTGGGTGGGCCAGACCAAGGAGGGCCTTGGCAAGGGGTAGAGTTTTATCTGGGGGCAGTAGAGGGCTCTGAGCCAGGGGTGAACCATGGTTGAATGCACCCCACATACTGGGGCCTCACTTGGACAGTGCTCTGTGAAACTGTGCCATGAGAGGAGGCTGCACCAGGCCAGGCTGCCTCCCCACTGGGCAGAGCTCCACCAGGGCACCTTCCACCCCCTTTGCCATGACCCCAGTCAGCCCCCAACACTTAGCCCAGAGTAGGACTTTTGCAAATGTTTCTTGGGAAAAGGGAGAAAGGGAAGGAAGGAAGAAAGGAAAAGAGGGTGGTAGGAAGGGGGAAGGGGAAAAAAAGAGAGAAGAAGGGAGGGAGGGAGAAAGGAGAGGTGAAAGGTCCCTCATGAGACACCAGCACAGTTCATGGGAAATAGGGACTTCACTGAGGAGCTTCTCCTTTGTGGCCTGGGCTTTTCTAAATGGAGAGACTTCAGGTTGATGCCCTTTCGTTCAGCCACAGCCTGGGGCCCCTGCACTGTGTATGCAGGCACATCCAGACAGGGAAGTCTTGGCTCCTTGTGTGGGGGGCTTGGGGGTGACCCAACTCCACCTACACGGTTCCCAGCAGGGAGGGTCTTCCCTGAGCAGGCTGCCCCGGGAGGGGTGAGCACCTCTGTCCAGAGGCATTCAAGCCACAGTGAGCTAGGCCTCCTTTTGCATGTTCTCTAAGGTTCCCCCCACTCAGAATCTGTTAGCAGAACAAGCGAGGAGTCAAGACTGGAACTAGATAAGAGAAAAATGTGTCTGCCATGTTAGCTGGGTCACAGCTCCGATTTGGATGGGTGCATGGAAGGTACCTGAATTGGTGTAGGAGGAGCTTGCTCTGCTGGCCTCAGTTCCTTAGATGCAAGTGGCAGGGAAGCATGGTACTCCATTGTGCCTGGCACTTTACATATGCTATTTATCCTCCAAACAATCATGTGAGATGGAGTCTGTTGTCCCTGTGAAGGAGATGAGGAAAGCAAGGCTCAGAGCATGGTGTGGTCCCACTGGGGCCTGGGAGCTTCGTTCCTAGGGCGTTTTCTAGCTTGGAGTGTGAGTGTTGCATTGTTGGTGAGCTTTCACCCTGCCCACAGGTCACCCTGGACGCTACAGATACACAACCACAGCCACCTGAGTGAGCTGTCAAGTGCTGGGGCTTCCCAAACCCCCCTGATGGCCAGAATCCTGTGGGGTGCTAGTTTAAATGTGAGACTCAAGGTCATTCATTCAAGGCCACAGTGTTTCGGGAAGCCAAGTTTACATGTGCACCAAGACCCTGTGCTGCTTCTTATGTGTGGGGCATATGAGGGGCTGTGACACTGTACTGGTGGGTTTGTTGCCAGGACTAGATAAGGTAATGTCTTCGGAGTATCACATAAGCCTTAACTGGCATTTATTTCTCAGGCCCTGCACAGACATGCTTCTCTCTGTTCCTTCCTCCTTCCCATAGTCGCTTAGGAGTATTTGAAAATCCCTAACCGAATTATGCCTTCTTCCCAATAGAAACAAAGAATATTAGATTGAAGGATTGGGTTAAAAAAAATTGCAGCTGATCATGTGGATACAAGTGTCAGAGAGGTATGACCCCAACCCATGCCCCTTGGAGAGCCTACTGTCCCCACAAGTCCTGTGGGCCTGGGACCTCCCAGCAGTGGGAGGGAGGAAGCCAACCCCACTGGCTCTGGTCTCTTGCTAGTGTGCAGCATTCCAGGAGACACCAGGAAAGGCCCTCCTCCCCTCCTAAGCCTGGAGAGGACTTGGCAATTTTGGAGAGAGCTCCTGCTGCTGCCAGGGCTGGGGCAGCTTCCTGGCAGTGCAGAGGAGGCTGTGCTGGCCTAGGTCCCTTAGATATCACCCAGCGGAACCGGGCAGCAAGGAAACAGTGGTCAGCAACCCTGGGGAAGCAGAGGCTGGAGCATTCTCATGCCAGAAGCCAAGCTACAGAAGTGAGGGTTGAGGTATCCAGTTCCTTACTGTGGTTCAGGCCTCTGGAGAGCAACCTGCACCTTGGACATTTTGTCCAGTGACCTTGTGCAGTCCTGACATTGCTCTTTCTTTGTCAAACAATCTTAAAGCCCTCAGACAAAACAAAGATCAGGGCAAGAAGCAAAGATGCCCAAATGGCTGTACTCTGAACCTCAGTTTCCCTTAGAAGGTGCTCAGAATGCAGTAAAAAAAAAGGGATAAGGGTGGGCTCATTTCACCTCATTTGGAAGAGTGGTGACATTTGACGTAAATTGCATTTAATGATTGCATCTAAAAACTAACTGCATAAAATAGAGGGCCGTGCAAATATAGGAGGGGCTGCCCTGACATGGGGCTTGGACCCAACCCAAATCACCCTGACTGAGGTGTCAGTGGCATTGGCTCACTGGGAGGCTGTAGAGTGCAGGAGGGGACAGGGCCTTTAGGGTCCAGCAGGCCTGAGCCCCCACCCTGTCTGCTACTTTTTCTTTTCTTACCCCTTCCCCTCCCCCTTCATTTTTTGCAGCGAGATATTGGCAGTCCCCAACCTCTATGACCTCAATTCTTCAGCTGTTCATTCAGGATCCCAAGGGGCGCCCTCGTTGGTTTAACAAGAGGATTGCAGGGGATAGGGAAAGAAAAGGGGGGGGGGGCTGGAGGGCTCGGTCAGGGGGCGTTGCCCTCTCTCCTGAGCAGGGTAGGAGACCCTGCGGGCACAAGGACCGTCCAGGGGAGAACCTAAGGGGTCTGTCCTTCCCTCGCAGAAGTGGTCAACCAGAAGGCCGTGTATTTCTTCAACCTGACGTCCTTGCAGGACTCGGAAATGATCCTCACGGCCACCTTCCACTTCTACTGGGAGCCGCCCAGGTGGCCCAGAGCACGGGAGGGGCTGTGCAAGCTGCGGGCCAAGAACGTCTCGTGCCACCTGCAGCCCTCCGGGCCGCCGCCCGCGCGCCGGCACCTGCTCTTCCGCAGCCTGTCGTGGAACCCGGCCGCGCAGGGGCTGCTCCGCGGGGCCGTGGCCCTGGCGCCGCAGCCGCACGCCCTGTGGCAGGCCAAGGACATCTCCCCCATCGTCAAGGCTGCCCGCCGGGACGGCGAGCTGCTCCTCTCCGCCCAGCTGGACTCCGGGGAGCAGGAGGCGGGGGTGCCCAGTCCCGGGCCCCACGTGCCCTACATCCTCGTCTACGCCAACGACCTGGCCATCTCGGAGCCCAACAGCGTGGCGGTGACGCTGCAGAGATACGACCCCTTCGCGGCCGGAGACCCCGAGACACGCGCAGCCCCCAACAGCTCGGCAGACCCCCGCGTGCGCCGGGCTGCGCAGGTCCCCGGGCCGCTCCAGGACAACGAGCTGCCGGGGCTGGACGAGAGGCCGGCGCGCGCGCCCCACGCGCAGCACTACCACGAGCACGCGCTGTGGCCCAGCCCCTTCCGCGCGCTGAAGCCGCGGCCAGGCCGTAAGGACCGCAGGAGGAAGGGCCAGGATGTGTTCTTGGCCTCGTCGCAGGTGCTGCACTTCGACAAGAAGACGATGCAGAAAGCCCGGAGGAAGCAGTGGGACGAGCCAAGGGTGTGCTCTCGGAGGTACCTGAAGGTGGACTTTGCGGACATCGGCTGGAACGAGTGGATCATCTCGCCCAAATCCTTCGACGCCTACTACTGCGCGGGCGCCTGCGAGTTCCCCATGCCCAAGGTAGGGTGTACCTGGCCGCACGAGTCGTGCCACCGTGCTCTGCCTGTTGTCGGACTCCCAGCTCTGCTGCTGTTGGCAAGTCCCTCGGCACGTGGGCCCCGTGTCCTCATCTGCAAAATGGGATAACAACTCCTCCCATCTATCCCAGGCAGAGCACAGGGGCCGAGTGGCTCCTTGGGCAGATAAAGCCCACAGAGGTGTTGGGTGTGGCTGTGCTTTTTGTCTCCGCCTCTTTAGACGCGCATTCCCACAGCCTGACCACTCAGCAAAGTCGAATGGGTGCTGCCCTGTGGACAGGGCTGGTCCCAGAAGCCGCATCCTGACCAAGGCTGTCATTTCCGTTCCTGGCCTGGACCCCAGGGCTTGGGTGTCTGCGACCAGCACGGCGCTAGCCCCGGTGGCTCTCCCCCGTGTGGGCTTGCTCCTCCCTCCCGCTCGGGGCAGGAACCCCGGCAGCTAACCCGCTCCGTGCACAGCAGCCTGCACAGCACGCGGCGCTGGCCGTTTTACCCGTCGTGCGGCCCAGGGCTTTCAGATGCTCACCTTCCCTCCAGGCAGGGCTGTGCCGCGTCCGTCCCTCTCCCGGGGCCTGCACCGCGGCGGGCTGGCTCCCCGAGATGCCGACCCTCGGCACCCAGGGCCCGGTTGCCTCCTGCTTGCTCTGCCGAATCCCGGTCACGCCTTTCCCTCCAAGAAAGGAAGTCAGGGCATAAACCCAGTTTGAACGTATAAATCAGCCCGCTGGGAAAGTCCAGACCCAGGTGTGGGGCTGCCTTAACCTGTTGGGGTGTTGGGGGCGTCTCGAGAAAGGGCGGTGCCCCACAGAGACCCGATCTGCTGGGAGGGCGCCCAGCCGGGCCGTGCAGTGCCAGGGCTCTGCGGCTGGCGGCTGGCGGCCTCCCCTCACCTCACCGGCCCCCCGAGGCTGCCTCCCCACCTTCCGGGACCCACGAGTGCAGGCGTCCTGCCCGCGTCTCCTCCCCCCGCCACACAGGCTCCCTCCTCCACTGTGCTGCACGCGGCACTCGGGCTGGAGACGAGCCAACGCGGTCCCTCCCGCTGGAGGTGGGCACGGTCTCTAACTGAGGTGGGCACGGTCTCTAACTGAGGGTCTTGGTCGAGTTGCTTAGTCATTTTAAGCTTCAGTGTCTTCACCAGTAAAATGCAAGTAATATCCACCCCATAAAGTTGGCAGGATGACGGCGTGGGCCGATGCAGGTAAAGTAGCACCGGGAGAAGGTCAGCTCCCAGCCAGCACACTGGCCCTTCAGGTAGTCACTAGAATACCATCACACGGGAAGAATTCCTGGCTCCTCAGACTGCAGGCGGCTCTGGCTGGGCCCTCCCTCGGCTTTCTCTGCTCGGTTTCTGCCGTTTCTCGCGCTCCTTGGGGATGTGTGGCACTCAAGCGCCCCCAAGTGGCCAGTGCTGCGTAAGGCATGTGACGTCTCATGGAGGCCAGAAGGGCAGGAAGGCTTAGCGGCTCTTGCAGACCTCAGCCTGGGCTCAGCGTGTGGCAGATTGCAGAGGAAGCCTGTCCCCAGCCCCGGGTTCTCGCCCTTTAATCTAGGCTGGCGCCTTTTCCGTGGTCTCGGTCAAGGAACAGCACTGGTGCAGCATGGCCTGGGGCTGGGAGGACAGCATGGGTGGTGGGTGAGGGCAGAGCGCTGAGGTGACCTTGTTCCTTTCTTGCCTTGCAGGTTGTCCGCCCATCCAACCATGCCACCATCCAGAGTATTGTCAGGGCTGTGGGCATTGTCCCTGGAATCCCAGAGCCTTGCTGTGTCCCTGACAAGATGAATTCCCTTGGGGTCCTTTTCCTGGATGAGAACCGGAATGTGGTTCTGAAGGTGTACCCCAACATGTCCGTGGAGACCTGTGCCTGCCGGTAAGACAGCTCCAGGGAGGAAGGAAGCCTCTGCCACATGGCAGAGCTGTGTTCTTAGAGCCCTGTGGGACCAGGACTCGACTAGGAGTGCAGCTGCAGACACAGGGCTCTCGAGACCACAGGCGTTGCTGCTGGGGCCCAGGAAGATCTGCCCACTGGGGCATCATTCTGGGGTCTTTCGGGAATCTGGGATTAGCCCTGGCCTGAAGGTTGCCCGTCATTCGTACCCACAATACCCACCGTCCTCAAGGCCTGAAAACAGAACATGCCCAGTGTTGGCCAGATGTGATCATCATGTCATAATTGAGGAAGAAGGCTATGCAGATTTCAGGGCCCACACCCCTTTCCCATGGGAAGAGCCTCTGTTTAGTGCTCAGTTTAAACACTTGGGGCCACATAGCCACCCTGGAAGAATAACGGTATAAATGGGTATTTTCTTCCAAACTCCACTGCAAAAGCTTTATACATAAAGTATGCACATGTAACCAATGTTCTTTTTCTTAACATATATTTTATTTTAAAATAACAACAAAAAAGGAGGCAGTTGCCACGATTCCCCGAAGAAGAAGTAATCATGCTGAGTAAATGTGAGTGTTTGGACGTGCATATTGAAATAACACATATGATAATATGTTCGAATACTAAAAAGTAACCAAGATTTTATATTTTTGTAAATTATACTTTCTATACTGTAGATTGTGTACGTTATGTGTTTTTATGAAAAGCTAATAAATTAAAGGTACAGTGGTATCTTGAAAAACTGAATGTCACTCACTCCAAAATAATTGCTCACTCCCCATCTGTAAGTATAGCACCTGGATGGCTTCTGGGGACACCTTAAGGGTCCTTGGAGGACCCCTCCTGCTGGCCAGCTCCGTATTCTCTGTGTGTTTCTCAGGCTCCAACAACCCAGAGGCTCCCGTGCTTCCCAGGGCCCTGCCCCACGTATTCTTTCCTGCAAATCCCCAACCTGGGCTGGTGTCCAGCGAGACTGGACAGGGACCCAGGCAGGCACAGTGGCCTCCTGGAGTTCCCTCACTTCCCTGGCCTCAGGAGCCATCCATCCATTGGGTGGCCTCTGAGGCATTTAAAGGGTTGTCTATGACTGCCTAGGCAGAGGTCTTTTACTTGGGGTAATTTGAGCAGGAGGAGATTCAATATAAGCAGTCAGGGGTTTCTCCTGAGGGACTGGATGATCCACACTGTCTCCCGCATCTGCTTGTCCTATGTAGAAAGGTCCCCAAATAGCTGACCCCCATGGCTTCCTTATTCTTGTAGAGTTAGTGCCTGAGCTGGGTGACCAGAATTTCTGAAAGAGAATCTGGGTCCAGTGTGAAGCAGGTATATCACAGTCACATCAGCAGGACCTGAGGATGACATGACCCAAGTCTAACTCAGAGGGGACTGCAAAGCCACGAGCGGCGCTCTACGGTGTCCAAGGAGAGAAGCAGCCACAGTGTCTGTCTTAGGTGTTGGGCTGGCTCGGAGATCAGGGTCCTGTGCAAGGCATGTGTGAGCAGTGCTCCCAGGAGACGCCGGCCAAGAGCCCAGCATCTCAGCCTGGTCCGGATCCCGCGGGGACTGCCGGAGCTTAAAGTGCCTCTCGGAGAGAGTCCGGACTCCAGGCAAGGGAGCGGGGTATTCAGGGCCTCTTGGCTTCCAGCCGCCCCTGAATGGGGAGATGTGAACCCCTCATTCCTTGACCCCTGCGTGGGCAGCCTCTGAGGAAGGCTGCAGTGGCTGCGCCTGGAGGCCACGGCCCTGAAACTGGAGAAACTGCCCCAGTGCCAGAGGTAAGAGGGACCTGAGGGCACTTGGGGGACCATCAGCATCTGCTCAGAGTCTCTAGGGTGCTCCATGGGATCCTGGGACATGTGAGCAGCTGCTCTGGGGACCCCGGCCTGCAGGCACAGGCCCCGGCCTGCTGACAGAGACCAGGTGAGGGCGATGTCTGCGGCACACACGGCCTCCTCTCGCTCCTGCAGGAGTCTGTCCTGGGACCAGATGGTGCCAGTGGCTGCTGTAGGCGCTGAGCTGGCTCAGACCAGCCCGCACATGTATTTAGTGCCCAGTTTGCCATGGCTAATTCTTTTTGGAACATGACAGGATATAAATCAATAGCAAAATGGGTAAAAGTACCGGGGCTTGGGAAAATTCCAGCTCTCTTTCTTCCCAATAGTAGATTCCTCATTCCCCCGATCCCATCTAATTTTTTTCTCATCAAACTGCTCCCTTTCCATTTTTGACCAAGATGGGGTATCGTATAATAGTTTTATTCTTCTGGTATTTGCCATTTCTGGGAGACCTTCTGGATCCCCCAAATACCTAGAATGCCCCTGAGTCTTCTTTCCTGGCTTACCGGGGATGGTGGGGAGACAGGCTGGGGGCTGTGCCCTGCGGCCAGCACCGGGATGGACAGCACTCAAGTTGCCATCTTTCCCAACCACACCCTGATGACTGTAGGGTATGGAATGGGTCAGGGGGATGGCATGTGTCCCAATCCTGTGGTGGGAGGAGCTAGTGTCATCAGTGACCCTTCCAATTATAGAACACCATGTAGTTATGGCATCTCATTTACCCTCACAGCAGCCTTACAACTTATTGCCCAGTTCATGCTGCAGAAAAACAGGCTCAGGAAGGGTAAGCAGCACGCCCACCAGTAATGTGTCCACTGATATCTTACCAAGACCACAGGCAAAGTCAGGTTGGTGCCCAAGCTGCCCGATTCAAGGCCTATGTGGCCAGCACTGCCCCTGAACTTCCTGGCTAGTGACCCCACTACCAGCATATCAGGCCTGTCCCAATGGCACTGAGTGTCCTTACAGTAAAGTGAGGCTTAAAAATAAATGTATATATAACTTTTTTCTCTCCTTAAAATCAAAGTATCAACATTACATTGTCACATTGCCAGAAGGTTCCAGCACACAGCCTAGATGTGCATGGGTTTCTGAGGTCACTCACCTTGGTGTCTGTGGGTCAGTCTGGAGGGGGCAGCATGGTGGCCTGCAGCTGGTCCCCATTCCTGAACTGGTACGTCCTCTAGAAGGGCAGGGCCTCTCATAGCTTAGTTCAAGTGACAAATACCAACAATACAGCTGAGGGCTAGAAATTTTAAGGCTAGGAGAAAACTTTGGGAAGCTTGTGATTCAACCTTTGTACTTGAGAAGTGGGGAAACTGAGTCCTGGCACTACCGAGTGTCTTGCTTGAGGTGTCCCAATAGGTACCTCTTTATGTCTAAGTCACTCATAAAATGTCATCAAAGCCATAGTATATAACGAATGCTTCTTCCATGGCCAGGACCGATACAGCTGTGTCAGAGGAACTTATAGATGTCTGGGGCTGGGGGTTGGGGGGCGGTTCCGGAAGAAGAGAAATGGACACAACTCCAGAAAGGCTGACTTTGGGGTCAGCCAGGGAGGAAGAGCTTGGCTTGGCTGGTGGAATAAGGACATTGCAAGGAGAGTTTAGTGGCAGCACCTGCCAAGGAGGGCAGATCAGCTTGCCAACTCTGGCTGTGACTTTTGCACCAAAGTATTCATGTTCAAGTTCAAGGCTATTTCCCTTTACCAAAACCTGGGAGCATAAGATCCTTCACAGACAGACTGATGCTTCTGAGATTTCCATTCCCTTATCCCTTCTACTCCCTGAGATTTGGGTCCTCTACCCAGCCTGTAGTCCTAACCTTGCTCCTCCGATCCCTCCCAGGAGTCTTGTCTGTGTGAGTCGGGGGTAGGTGGGTGAGCAGGAGAATGAACATGTTTGTTTATTCAATTACTTAGCATTTACTATGTGCCAGATACCATGCTAGGCAATATATTCATACTTTATGTCTCGAAAGACATGTATGACTTCCCTTTTTTTGTCATAACCAGTGTGCAAACCTGAATGTGCATCAGAAACATCAGGAGACTTGGCACAGGCTGGGCCCCACCCCAGGGTTGTTTCTGATCCAGGCTGAGACCTTGTATTTCTAACCAGCTCCCAGTTGCTGCTGCTGCTGCTGGCTCAGGTACCATGCTTTCAGAACAGGTGTCCTCATAGCAATGTCCCCTATGATGGAAGGGACCCCTGAGGCAGCTGTGTCACAGAAACTCAGGTAGATCCATGCTCACTTCCACGAAGGAAGGCTGAAGTCAATGTCACTGCTTTGGAGCAATGAGCTTCAAGGATTCTTCAAATAAATGGATCAGTCAAATCCTCCTCTCTTGTTCATTAAATTGTGCTTCTCCCATAGCAATTGCATGTGATGATTTGATTTCTATAATTCACAAGTCCTGGGAGGGTTGACACTACAGAGGCTTTGGCTAAAAATCACCACAGCACAGTAATGCCAAACCATCTTGAGAAAAGACAAGGAGCATGAGGCTAAGCTGCAGCCTCCAGGGCCACTGCACACCCCGCAGAGCACTCCTAGGTGCTCAAGGATGTATGCAGAGCTGCGCCCAGGAGGCCTGACCCAGAGGAGCCTCAGCCTGCTGTAAAGGCAGGACAGACTTGCTGGGCACGTCAAAGTTCCAGAGGATGTGATGTGTGAGAACAGCAGAGGAGCAGTCCTGGGGCCCTTCGAGTGGCCGTCGGATGAATCCACCAGAGTGGTGTTGCTCAGAACACAGAGGCTGCTGGTGACGGACAGTCAGGACCGGCCCAGGTGGAGGACAGCGGGAAGGAGCAGAAGGCACTCCCAAGGGAGGGCAGAGCCCACTCAGGGGCACTGCAGGAGATAGGGGCAGAGCTGTCCCAGTGGTGGGGCAAAGGGAAGCAGTGACAGAAAGATCAGGCGTTGTACTGCCAGCAACAGTAACAGTGGCTACTTACTGCGCACTTAGGTGCGACGTGTTCCCGTAGAATGCCCAGCATCTGCGGAGCCCTTAGGCCTCTCCCTAGACTCACACTCAGTAGCAAATATGATTCCTGAGCACAGGCCCAGACCAGCACAGGTGATTTCCAGCCACTGCTGCACCTCCTCAGAGGCTAAAGTCCAGATCCTGAGGTGTGGCTCATCAAAACGTGGGGGGAATATAGTGCAGCCCAAGTAGCAATGCAAAGTGGCATTTGGTTGTTTTGGTTGTTGCTGTCCATTAACATACTGAAGATTAGAAGAACTGGTGGTGAGGGTGGTGAGACATGTGTCCTTAGGCTCGGCTAATAGGAGTGAACATTGAAAGAGCATTTCTGGAAAGCAGCTTAGCAATGCTTAGCAAGAGCTTTGTAAACATTTACATATACTTTGACCTAGATATTCCACTTCTGATGACCTAAGAATAGGAAATAGACTGTAATAACATGAAATAATGCCTTGCAACATTTTCTTAATAACTAATTGTCCTACAGTTGGAGAATGTTTGAATAAATTAGGATATGTCCATGTGATTGGATAGTGCTTAGTCATTAAGAATGAAGTTTATGAAAAGTTTTCATCATATGGGGAGATATTCACACAATCCTCTAGTGGCATCTCCTTCTAGTGCCCAGGCCTATACCTCTCTGGGGACCATCCCAACCTGACTTTCTCTGTCCCTGTGCTGCCAGTGACATCCCTCCCACTTCAGGGGCCTAAGCCAATCAGGGCATTACATTCCCCTGGCCACAGCCATTGGCTGGGGTGTGAGCAGATGATCCAATCAGGGCCGAGGCACCAAGAACTCTCTGGGACATCCTAGAAAAGAGGCTTTGCTCCTCCCTGCCCCATGTGGAAGGAGTGCGGACCTTCTGGGGCTGCCTTGCCAAGACACGGAGACAGAGCTGAAGCCAACACAGTGGAGGGCAGGACTGAGATGGGAGAAGTTGTCACTAGGACTGTGCCCATCCTCTCTGTATCAAGCCACACTAAAGCCAGATTGTTTCTGAACTTCTCAGCTGTCACTGGTCAGCTGTAATCCATTTCGTTTAAGCCTGTTTGGGGTCTGCTTTTCTGAAACTTTCAACTAAATGACACAATTTTAAAGAAGAAAATCTGTATGTACCTAAATAAATAAATAAATGAATCTGTATCAACAAAGCCTGTGCTGTACACCAAACCATGTATACCAAGTGACTTCAAAAGTAAATAAATATAGGACAGAGATTACAGATACTTTACTCTAGATTGTCATAAATTTTACACCAGCCTTGGCTTTGTCTAGGTATAAACACATGAAACTACCATAATTCAGATCTTTGGTCTTTGAAAGATCATGTAGATGGACTTCCCTGGAGACAGTAAATGAGGAGTTAGAAAATACACAGTAGTTTTTTGGGGGTGGGGTGGACAAAGAAGGGGTAAATAAGATTTTCTGTGGCTCAACCAGGGAAGGTCCTTCCTGAGGCCCTCACAAAGCAAAGAGACAAGAGAGGGAGGGGTCTTTTTGCCCAAAGGAACATCGAGAGTCCTTTTCTCCCTAGGAAAGACAGAACAAGACCCAAACCTTGTTCTGTAAGACCTAAAGTTAGGGGAACCTGTTCATTGGGACCAAGGCCCCTTTGTACCAAAAGGTAATAAGGACCCTGAAATCACCACCTGTTGAAAGTAGGCATTTCAGCATGGTGACCCATGCTCCCAATAGAACCTAGAGATTTGTGAGAGAGAACAGGTTGGGATTAAAGTGTGGCCATGGCTGGCCTCTTCTACCAACCCCTCCACCCACAGAGCCATGCCTCTGTAGAGCAGTAAGCTATTACCCTGGTGCCCCATGGGGGTACCACAGAGACTTGGACTAGCAAGGGATCCCAACCGCTATAGACAAGCTGCTATTGGATGGGTACCAACTGTCCCCAACAGCCAAGCCAGTGTCACTGAGAAGCAACAGCAGGTGACACTTGCTAGGATCCCTCTTTCTCTCCCCCTTCTCCATATTAGGAAGCTGGATTGATACCATCCCACCCCCATCTCCTTTGGACTAACCCCATGGGACACTTAGACAGTTCTGGAAAGGGGAACACTAGACTTCCTGATAATGTGGATCAGGAAGCCTCAAGCAATTAATTAAAAATGAGACAAGAGATGTGACCATATTGATATCCCAAGTTTGTTATCTGGAATTATCCCAGATAATTCCAGAAAAGTATAGGCATGTTTCATTGCTTTGCTCTGAGGGAGCTGCCCGCATCAGAGTCTATATTACAGCACCTCCAGACACGTGCACGTGCAGCCTCCACAGCAGGATGTGGCGACCCTGTACACAAACAGGACCACAGTCCTTTATCTGAGAGCCCCAAATTCAAAGCTATCTGAAACCTAAAGTTTCTTTTAACTCTTCTTGTGGCAAAACTTGACCTGAATGGATATTTGTCTTTATCAGTTTTACTGCAGAAATATTAATGTGTGTCATTTTAGGGTGTTGTCTCTAACCCTTTGGGGATATTATAATAAATATACCATACCAAATTCCCTAAATCTGGTACTTTCTGAATCCCAAAACACTGTATTTTGGAAGTTGTCTCAAAATGTTAACACTGGGCATTGCTAGATGATGAGGTTGTAGGTTATTTTATTTTCTTCTTTATGTTTTGCATTCCCAAATTTTCTACATTATATACTATTGCTACAACCAGAAAAAAAGTCATATTTTAAAAATAGCATCAGACAGCAGCCCCTTGCACCTCCCTTGTTGGAGACTAAGACCCTCCACATTCCAACGACTTGTCCTGACTTGTCCTGACTTGTCCTACGCACACGGAAAATAGCCTAAGATGAAAATAGCACCCAGCCCTCCAGCTATAGTTCCTAGAAGAATGCATTCCATGACGTGCTTGCTCCAGGGCATGCTACCTGCAATTGTTCCCAACCCCCTGCCAGGTTGGGGTTGAGTGATCAATCACAAACAGCTTCCGGTGCCATTGGGATGCTGATTGGGGCTGATTAGCCCACACCCAAGCCTCATCATCCCCCCACTCTATTTTTCTGTTTCTACTTCCTTGTTTTCCGTTTATAAAACCTACTAAAAATCCAAGTAAAGTAGACCTTGACAACCATTTGCTTGGTCTCGTTCCTTTCTCTCGCCCATCTCTTTCAGGCACGGTCCCCCTCGCCCCGCGAGTAACAGAAGGTCCCGTGGGCCGGGACACTCCCTGAGCACATCCAGGCCACCGTGCCGTCCATCCGCTCAGCTTCTTGAGTGTGAAGGGTCCTGGGTGGCCTCCCAGGCCAGAGCACACTGGGGTGCCTGCCTTGTTCTCGGCGCCTCCTGGCCTACACCGCACTCCGCAGCTGCAGCTCCATCTCCGGGGCTTGGCACACGTTTGCTTGTCTGTTCCCTGCCCCGTGAAATTCCTGCACTGGGCTGGCTCAAAGCCCAGCGCTCTTCCTGCCCACTCCCACCCATCCAGGCAGCATGTCTGAAGCAGCATCCTTCCCATCCTCCCCTGGCCGTGCCTCCAAAGGGTGCAAACAGCAAGTTCTGTCCGGGCCTGGCCACTTGGGGCTCCTGGTTTCACCCTTCCCCCTCTGCATCTCCCTGGACCTGCTCAGTGCTCTGCCATTGCGGAGCAATGTCATGCTCAAATCTCCCCCAGAGTGGACCGCCCTGTACACCTCCCTAGTAGTTTTAACTGTGCTGGTTCTTTGCTTTGGTCAAAGCCACACGTGATGGGAATTGTCGGAGTCTGAGCGTGGGTGTGCTGCTCCCTGGGGCCTCCCACCCCCATCTGGGTTGCCACCTGCCAGCCCCTACCTCCCCCGGCCAGGGGGCTATCTCCTGGGCAGGTACCAGTCTCAGAACTTCCGTGTGGCCCAGGCGGCTGCTCGCAGATGTGAGCGGAGACCTCCCCCCCAGACCAGTGACGAAGCTGGGATTCGAGGGCCTAGCGGGCCGAAGCGGGCTGTGGTGCTCCTGCAGAGCAGGCTGGGGACCCAGTGCTTCCGCCCCGGCTCCATCTCAGTCAGACCTAGGGGGGAAGGGTGCCCAAACGCAGCCACCCAGCTGGCTGGGGCACCTCCATGATGTTCCATTCCCGCACATCATTCTCCGAACTCCTCACACCTCTCTTCTGAACGGGAGGCTAGACGAGCTGAGGTAACTTGCTCCAGATCACACACGTGGGAAGTCACTGAGGATGCTGGGTGCACACCCTTGGGTGGAGTCCTCGAGCCACACTGGCATGTTCCAGTTCCCGAAGGAGCAGGCCTCTCCTGAACCCCAGGGGGTGCCCACCCCACGTCCATCCCGGCCCCACGGTTTGCTGGGGCCTCCTGGGTGTTCCGCATTGCTGTTGCTATATTTGGAGGACTTTCTGGTCTGATTTCCTGGATTCTTTGTTCCCGTGGCCCAGGAGATGGAGCCTCTGTCACCCACCCTGGAGATTCTTCTGACGAGCGCTGGCGAGGAAACGAGAACAGATCCTAATTAGGGGCGATGACCCCCCGGAGAAATGTGGATTCTTTACAGTAGGCTGTGTCCTTCCCACAAGCCCCGCGTGTTTGTCAGATGTTTACAGAGCCTTCATTAACAGAGAGCTTCCTCCGATAAGAGTCCCAGCGCCGCATCGAAGGCCAGATAAGAGCAAGTGGAGGACAGTCCAGGCTGGGGCACGAGCACGAGCGTGCTGGCCAGGGCTTCCTGCAGAGCGCACAGCAGAGCGATGCGGGCGCCCTGCACCCGCGCTCCTCCCCGTGCCCGCTAGCAGTCGAGGCTCCCGCAGTCTCCTCTCCCTCTCTGGGGCGAGAGCGGCAGCCCAAGATGTGCCCCAGGGCGCTGTGGGCGGCTCTGGCCCTGCTGTCCCTGCTGGCCTCCTCCCTGCAGGGGAAGCCGCTGCAGAGCTGGGGGCAGGCGTCCGGGGGGAAAGGCCTGCTGGGGGCGCCCGGAGGGGAGCCGCGGGAGCACACCTTCGACCTGAAGATGTTCCTGGAGAACATGAAGGAGGACTTCTTGCGCAGCCTCAACCTAAGCGGGGTCCCCGCCCAGGACAAAACCAGAGTGGAGCCGCCGCAGTACATGATCGACCTGTACAACAGGTACACCACTGACAAGTCGACCACCCCAGCGTCCAACATCGTGCGGAGCTTCAGCGTGGAAGGTAGAGTCCGTGTGCCCGGGGTGCCCTGGGGTGGGACTCACAGGGCCGCAGCTGCACTGCCCATGTGGTGGCCACGGCCACAGGAGACTCTTCAAGTCACCATTTAAGTTAATCACAGTGAAATAAAATAAACCGTGGTTCTTTATTTTCACCACTTCAAGTGTGCAGCCGTCGTGTGTGGCTAATGGCTTCCCCATAGGGCAGTGCCGGCTATAGAGCATCCCAGCGTCACTGGGAGCTCTACGTGGCAGTCTGCTCTGCAGGGCGCTCCTTCCCTGGCCACAGGCCACTTCTAATGCAGGCGGGTGCAAGCAGACAGCGCCCTTCCTCCGTCCGTTCCCCCTCGCCTCCTCTCCACTTGTTTGTCTTCCCCTCCTTCCCCCTGCCCTTCCTGACCCCTTCCTACTTAGACAACTTATTTAGCTCCCAACTGGCATATTTTAAACTTTGAAGGAATGTCTGTTTCTCTCTTACGAAAACATTTTTAAAATAAGTAAAATATTTTGATAGCAAAGCATTGCAGGAGAACCTAAATATTTTTTAATATAGAAATGTCCCTGATTTAGGAGAACTAGAAGAGAATAGGGCCTGTGTCCACCAACTCGTTCAACTTCACATGACACAGGTGAGACGAGTCTCTGAACAGTGACATGGAGCTCCCGGCGGCTGCCTATCTGCGAGGCACTGCCTCTCCTGCTGCTGGGCCCCTGCAGCAGCCAGGGACACAGGGCCTCTCCCTCCTGAGTCTGATACCTGCAAATGCCTAAGGTCCCTGCTCAGGGCCACGGCTAGGCCAGACCTGCCTTGCCTGCAGAGCGTGTGTCCCTCTAAAGGACTGTGGTCACGATACATGCCACAGTGCTGAATTTTCTGATAGTCCAAAGGAAGAAGAAAAGTCTTGATTTTATGTGAATTTACCTGATTTTTAAAACCCTGGCTTCATTTTCTTAAAAAATGCAATCTGCAAGTCACTGGGCCCACAGGGCAAATCTGTGTGACCTCCACCTTAGAAGCCTGGGCTTCTTTCGCCAGAGCCTAAATGACCAAGTCCCACAGGCCTGGGAACACACACACACACACAGGGTGGTGCACACGTCCTTGGAAACTGAGCCCATCCCGGCATTCCTGTGGCTGCCAGTTCTGCTTCCCTTCCCAGGTGGTTTGAGGGTGGCTCAGGGAGGGAGGATGCGGTGCTTATTTTCTAGATGTCTGACTGTGACCCCACGAAGGCATGGTGCATACTGCTCAGACATGCCAGGGCAGCTCAACTTGTCCTTAAGGAGCTAGGAAGGTGCACCCATGCAGGGTGAGGGGAACACAGAGCTGGGCAGTTGCACGCTTTGTTGTATGCAGGGGTGTGCCCAGGTTGGGAGGAGGGTCTGCGGAGTGGGACATAGAAATATCGACTATCTGCTATAAGCCAGAGACTGTGTCCAGTTAAGTTCCCTGTGCCACCCTGTCCAAGCCTCCCTCCAATTCTGGGACAGAATTAGGATAAACAACATTTTACAGATGAGGAAACTGAGGTACAGTGACACTCGGGACTTTCTAAAGTATCAGGCCTAGTGGAGTCAGGACTGGTACTTCATTCTCCCAACTCTAGGGAATAATTGTGTTTCAGTCTGCCAGACATCAAAACCTGCTGGCCAGGTTTCAGGGCAGTGCAGAGTCTCTATTCCTGCTGGCACATAGTAGGAGCACGAAAAACGCCAGCCATGGTAAAGTACAAACATGATGATGGCCAAGTGTCAGCCCAGGAGAAGCGGGAAATTGAGGCACTTATGTGGCTAAAATGCAAGCCCCATTTTTCTTGACATGACAAAGCTAATAAATTTTTCCTCAGGAAAAAAAATCCACTTTCACTTTGCTTGGGAGTTATGATTCTAAATAATTTCAGCACTGTTCTGAAATGTTTAACATTGTCTTAATATCGGACCTTCGTGGTCCCCTCCCGGGCTCTTTCCTTTGAATTCACACAGGATCTCCACTCTCAGGCTGCGTGCATTTCGATGCTTCCTTTATGTGAGGGCACTTCCTAGCTGCGGGCACTGTGGCACTTAGATGCCCTGAATCCCGGTCTCTATATCCATAAAAGTGGCATGACAATTAGACCCTCCTGTGATGAATGTGAGGGCTACAGTGAAATATATTTTGCAAAGCTTGTAGTGCAACTCCTGGCACATAGTAAACGCTCAATAAATAGTCAGAACTGTCAACCTCAATTGGAGGCATCTTCTGCCTCTGCTTCTCTTTACAAGATCCTAGATGTACTGTTCAAAAGGCTTAAGTGGACAAAATAGAGATAATAGAGACCAAAGTATCATCCTAAATCCCTTTCATCCAAGCCATGAACTTTGGTGTCGTGAAAACGGGCCCTCTGGCAGATGCCCATGCGTGTGTTTACCTTCTAGATGCCGTCTCCATAGCTGCCTCGGGAGGCTTCCCCTTCCAGAGGCACATCCTGCTTTTCAACATCTCCATTCCCAGACACGAGCAAGTCACCAGGGCCGAGCTCCGACTCTACATCTCCTGCCAAAATCACGTGGACTCCTCTCATGCGCTGAAAGGAAACATGGCCATTTATGACGTTCTGGATGGAGCAGATGCCCGAGACAGCACTGTGGGGACCAAGACCCTCCTGATATCCCAGAATATTCTGGACCAGGGCTGGGAGACCTTGGAAGTGTCCAGTGCTGTGAAGAGATGGGTCCGGGCTGACTCCAGCAAGAGCAAAAACAAGCTGGAGGTGACAGTGGAGAGCCACAAGAAAGGCTGCGACAAGCTGGACATCAGCGTCCCCCCAGGGTCCAAAAACCTGCCCTTCTTTGTCGTCTTCTCCAATGACCGCAGCAACGGGACCAAGGAGACCAGGCTGGAGCTCAGGGAGATGCTCAGCCACGAGCAGGAGAGCGTGCTCAAGAAGCTGTCCAAGGACATCGCCGAGGAGGCAGGGGAGAGCGGGGAGGATGTGGACGGGCACATGGTGGCAGGGTCTCCATTAGCCAGACGGAAGAGGAGTACCGGCGCCGGCAGCCATTGTCAGAAGACCTCCCTGCGAGTGAACTTCGAGGACATTGGCTGGGACAGCTGGATCATCGCGCCCAAGGAGTATGATGCCTATGAGTGTAAAGGTGGCTGCTTCTTCCCTCTGGCTGATGATGTGACACCAACAAAACATGCCATCGTGCAGACCCTGGTGCATCTCAAGTTCCCCACAAAGGTGGGCAAGGCCTGCTGCGTGCCCACCAAACTGAGCCCCATCTCCATACTCTACAAGGATGACATGGGGGTGCCCACCCTCAAGTACCACTATGAGGGCATGAGCGTGGCAGAGTGTGGGTGCAGGTAGTACCCCACGGGGCAGGGGAGGCAGGCAGGAGGGAGTCCTGAGAAGCCCTTTGTCCCCCTGGCACCACAGGGACTGAGTTGATCTGCATGCCAGCCTGGGGGAGGAAGTGCAGCCTGGAGGGTGCAGGTAGCACCTGCCCACCCCGAGCAACGCCCCTAGGCTCGACTGATGGGAAGGCGATGGCCAGGGTGTGGGGTTTCCAGGGAAGCCTGGAAGTGCTGTTGGGGTGGAAGGGGAGGTGATGAAAAGGACACAGGAGGGGAACTAATCCAGAGTCCGCAGAACGCTGGGCAGAAGTGAGCCAGAGGAGTGTGGACAGTGGGTGAGGGGCCCAGGTGCATGGGAGTTAAGGGATCGTGGAGGACCGGCTGAGTCCAAGTAGCCTCAGGGCCTCAAGGGGAGAGGAGCAGGCCACGCGCTTTGTAGCCACCATTTCATGCACTTGCCTGATCCAGTGAGGTGGGTGCGATGGCCTCCAAGTTACAGAAGCAGAAACTGAAACGCAGACAGGCCAAGCATTGCCAGACAGTGGCACGGTCCCAGCCATGTCTACAGGAGACCAAAGCCCGAGACCTTCCCAAATGCCCCACTGCAGTTTAGCAGATACCCCCGTAGCCAAAATGCAGGGAGGTGTCAGGACCCCAGGAGCGCTGAGGTCAGGCTGTGCTGAGCCCTGGTCGCCCACACCAGTGTGCGTGGGCTGTTGGCATGTCCAGGGCATGGTTTGACCACTCGGTGCCTATGCTCATTCAGTGGCTAAATGCTTTTTAATATCACCCCGAGTCACTGAAAAACACCCCCAAAGCAACTGCAGGGTGGAGAGCAGCAGTGCTCTGGCACGTCCCACACTGTGGCCAGAGCTGCTGTGACCCACTCGTACGGCGGCAGTTCTCTCAGGGCCACTTGCTGTCCGTACACCCAGTTTGCCCTGCGGGATGGGGCAGCCATGGCAGCACCTCTGCAGTTACCCAGCTCCGAAGCACTAGGCACCGTGGTGTCCCCGCACAAGGACCCCACAGGAGACAGGACCTGGATTTGAACTGGTTGGAATTAAACGTGCTCTTGCTTTGGTATTTGAAATGTCCCTATTTCTACTCCTTGGTGACATGTGCTCAAGCGACAAGACATCAGGCTTCCTAAGGGAGGCTCCCAGGCCCTGAAGACCGCCTGCACGGCCGGCTCCTGAGCAGTATGCGTCCCGCCCACCCTGGGCCGCCAGGGACCGGCCTGCCCCGCCCCCCACCCCCGCCGACCCCAGGGGAGGACAGCCCCATCTCCTCCGCTCTGCCGTGTCCTCTGCTCCTCCTGGCCAGGCACGGCAGTGTGAGGAGAAGTCTGAAAGGGGCAAAGATCCTGCCCTGTGGCCTTCTGACCCCTGGCCAGAGCGGGGCCCAGAGGAGGCTTAGAGGGACCAGGCCATTTCCACTGGCTGAAGCTCCCATGTATTTGAAGAAACAGTTTGTGTTAAATGTTTCCATGAAACCAATGAACAACTTTAACACAAAAATACAATGAGACATTATTTTTTAATTACTGGAATTATAGAAAATATGAATTTCTGGTACCTGCTAGGTAGCGTGGCAGAGCAGTACTGTTCAAAGCTGGGTGGCAGACGTCTTGCAGTCCTGGTGGTTTCTGTGCCTGCGTGAACGTTCTGCCAGAAATAAAGCCAATGTCAGATGGCAGCTTGTCCTGAATGAGACCTGCAACTGAAAGGCCTCCAGGCCCTCCCGCTGCCCACCCCTCCTTCCAGGCCCCAGTGGGACGGGTTGTGCCCTTCCCTAAGGAGGCGAGGGAGGGACATGCAGCTGCCCCAGGGCTGGGAGGACGCAGGCGGTGGGCAGCGTCTGCCCTCTGCGGTGAAGGGACAGGTTCCTGTGTGGGCGTGCAGGTGTTTGCAAGTCCCCGGCCGCATTAGTCACTGCCCTGCCGTCCTCCGTCCTCCTGCCGCCCTCTGAGCTGCCCTGTGACGGGGGAGGGAGGCCCCCGTCTCCATGAGCAACGCAGACGGCCCAGAGGCCTCTCCTCTCAGGCCCAGGCTAGACGCCATCCCGGCAGTCTCACTGCGCTGCCGCTCCGGCCAGCCTGGCCAAACACCCGCAGAGGCCTCGCTTGTTCTCGCCCTCAGGGACACCCTCCCTGGGCCCGGCCCTCCCTGGGCCCGGCCCTCCCTGCCGTTGCTTGTCCGGGACCCCACTCCCGTGGCACCGCCTTCCTTGCCCTGCTCCTCAAGGTCCTCTGGACCCCCAGGCGGCTGCGGTGGCGTCGCTTGAGAAGGGGCGTGCTGTCCACAGGGACGCAAGCCTTGTTGCTGGACTTCTCTCAGCACCCACCGGATGGACGGAGGGAGGGACTCCCGGTCGGTGCTTACAGCCTCCTCTTGTCCAGCCTGGCTTCATTCCCACATGAGCCAGGCCAGCGCAGGTGGGAGTCGGGCTGCCCCCTGCAAGGCCTCAGGAGCGCCCCTTACCCATGCGGGCGCCAAGGCGTGGCTCCTGCACCCAGGGCGCCTGACCAGCTCTGTCCAGACATAGCTTTAGACTGCTGCGCTGCCTTCCCTGGGCCTCTGCCTCTGGGCACCTGACACGGGCCTGTTTGGACCCAGAAGGCTCCTAAACCATCCTCCCCGGGGGGGACCCAGGGAGGTGGTGTTCGCCCCTTATGGATGAGGAGGCTCAGGTCAGGTTCAGGACATGCAGCCAGGAGCCTGGGGCCAGCCCACCTCTGTGGCGGCGTGCTCCCTCCTGGAAGCTCTTGCAGCAGGCCCCAGCTTTAACGGTGACCATGCAAAGAGACTCGTGGAGAGGCTGATGGGGCTGTGCTGGCCTGTTGCCTGCATGTAGTCTAGGGTGTGCAGCTGGGGGCCACACAGGCCAATGTCTGCTATCACTGTCTTGAAATGTGTAATCACTTTTTAACCAGGGAACCACATTTTCATTCCGCACTCGGCCCTGCCAACGACACGGCTGACTCTGAATGCCAGTCAGTGTCTTGCTTTCCCGGGTCCCAGGACACTGCGGAAGCCCAGAGGCTCCTCCCCTCTGTGGCCAAAGGCAACGAAACTGCTCACCAAGGAAATACCAGCCTGTTACAGCCGTGTGGCTGCTTCTTAGGGGGCGTCAGAGATGCTGCCACTCTTTTCCGGCCTCCTCCGAGCGAGCCACGTCTCTGACAAGAGCACTAAGGAGACTGAACCCAAGGCTGGCCGCGCCTTAAGCCAGCAGTGGACACAGATGGCTTATGCTGGGTCAGACTGAAGAAACCCTCCTGAACTTCTTTTCATTTTCAAATCACAGAATCTGAGTTTTGGCTAAAAGCACCTGTTCCGGGCAGGAATCCGCACACCCGTGGCATCAGCTTCCCTTGAGCCTGGGCCAAAGTCAGTCTGTCCCCCACAGCACCCTTCCGTGAGCTTCTGTTCTGGCGTGACCGTCCCCGAGAGCCTGCAAGCCTTCTCCATGGAGGGCACAGAGGGCCCTTGGCTATGGGACACATGGGTCACTTCTGCCTCAAAGTGATAAAAATAAGGGCAATGAAATATTCATAAAAGCTAAGTGCAGTTTTGAGGGTGTTCAAATATCTCCCCCTTTTTATGAAATAATAGAAATGTAGGTAATAGGTTTGTGATTTTTTATGATATCCATAATTGGCAAAATAAAACCCTGACAACCTTGCATTGATCCTCAAAACAATTTTTGAACAATTATAGGTTTATGAAATCCTAGAGTCCTGTTGCTTCCTAGCTTTGGAGAAGCACTAGGGCCGGGTGTGGCTGTCAGTGCCACCAAATCCAGGACGGGACAGCTCACCCAGCACCCACCAGGGCCGTCAGCCTCCGGGCCAAGCTGCAGCCCCTGGCCTCCAGGGTCTGGCCAGACCACCCACTCTCACACTGAGCCTCTTTCCTTGTCCTCCTCCCCCCTTTGCAAACCCTTGGCTTGCTGTCTATGCCAGCATCCACTGCCTGCCCACCTCAGCCGTGTGCACCATGCCCATTTGCTCAATCCTCTCTGGCTTTGGCCCTCACTTTCCAATACAAATTTGGGATGAGTCCTATGTCTCCCCACATGGCCAGGGGTGCCCTGCCTCCTGCCCAGTCCATAGGGCCTATGCCAGCACCGCCTGCCCACGTGACCCTCTGCCAGGGAGGGGCGTGGGTGTGGCCTGCTGTGTCCAGAAAGCCAGGGCAAGCATTCCTCATCAATTAGATGCCAAAACGAGGGCCAGCCCCAGAAACAACAGGCACGCATGCAACTTGCGGAGAAACACAGGCCTAGAAGTGCCAAGCCACCGCCTCCAGGAGGGCCTGGGAAAGGGTCTTGCTCTTGAGCCCCCAGCCTGGCGTCTCTGAGGCTCAGGACTCAAGTCTGTGTTAGTCAGCTGCAGTGTCAAAGTGACTGAAAATCATATACATGTCCACTACTTTCCTTCTGCCCCACTTTTGCAGGGAGGAAGAGCCCTTGAGCCCTGCCTGGGCTGCCATATGCTAAGCTGGAGAATGGAGGAGCTAAGAAATTAGGAGGAGCTGAGAAAGGCTGGTTGATTTCCACCGCACAGGGCAAGGGCTGTGTCCTGCAGGAAGAACAGATTGGAAGCAGGCAGGATGGAGAGAGCAGGGAGGGCAGAGAGGAGCTGGGGCCGGAAGGGAGGACGGCAGTGCTGGAGTCCAGAAGGGTGGATGGGAGAGCAGAGGAACGGGTGCTGGAACCCCACCGTGGGTGGGATGCCCCCACTCTCCCACGCTTGCCCCGCAGTCCACAGACACCTCACTGGAGCCTGGAAGTATGGAGACTTGCGAGCACGCAGGTCTAGCCCCGCACCTGATGCACCCTAAGCCTTCAGTAACAGGCAGCTGTTGCTGCCACTGACCCAGGGAGTGCAGAGAAGATCTACAAGAAGGTTCTGTTAAACAGCCTTCTGATGCTCATGTGCTTTGGTAGAGGAATCCTGACTCTGAGTCTCTATCCTAAAAAATACAAATTAGATATACAAATATTTCATATATTAATTTTAATTTAATTTAATTTTAAAATAAATTCAATTTTAATTTAATGTTTCATATAATTTGGTGTTCACTGAACATTGCTTGGCTTTTCCTACATAAAAACAGGAAACTCTCTAAAATGAACAAGAATAGGAGAATATTTTTATGAACTATGGTTAGTTCCCTTCTTTCTTCCTGGACCTGATTCAGGATGGGATGAGAGGGCCATCTGAGTTTTCTCCAGATGTCACCAGAGCACACAGCTGATTGGCAGCAGGAGATAAAAAGATAACAAAGACAGTGTGTGTTTGGGTCGCCCCTCAGGGCCAACCTCTGGTGAAGTTTTGAATGACACTGGCTTGAATTCAAGCAGAGCCAGACCAGGAGTGACAGTCTTCTCACCCACACTCGCTCTAAACCTATAGCTGGATATGTGTGCACACATGGATGTATGAACACCCACACATGCAATCGTGCACACACATGCTCACACACTACAAACATGTGCACACATGTGCACACCACATATCCACACATAGTGTGCATGAACATAAACAAATGTGTGTGCACACATGGATACTGCACATTTGCACACGTGTGCACAAACACATGCCATGCATGTTCATGCATGTGTCTGCACACACACTGCACATGTGAATTGTACACATGTATACATACCTGCACAGGCTCACGCACATATGCATGTGCCTCGAACTGAAGAAAAATAAAATCAGTAGGACTTTCTGGTGCATTAGGTGTCAGAGTGTGAAGTTTGTATGAGGGCGAGAAAGAATTCTCAGAGTTTAGGATAAAAAGAAGTACAAAGGTTATTTATTTTCCTGAGGAAAAAAGAAAAGAGAGAGCGAGCGAGAGAGGAGAGAGTGGCCGCGGCACAGAGGGAGGAGTGAAAATGCTGGACAGCTGAGAAAACACTGCTTGCCGTTTAAATGGTACGAATGTCTTTTTTCCCTCTGCTTCAGCAGACTGATAAGTGAAGCGACGGTGAAGTTGTTGCAGGTGCTCTTTCTGGCTTGTCTGGTTCCTCAGAATCCGGTTGTTGGCAGGGACTGAGGCAGGGAGTTGGCACAGGGAGCTCACACCCTCACTGTCTGCTTAGGGCTCTTCAAGACTGAGAAAACGAAGTCTTAGAGATAATGAGTTAGGCCACAGACGTTTTAGTTAAACAAAGGGTAGTTGTGTTGTGAGTTTTTTTATTCAAAGGGGCAGTTATGTGCTGTGGGTTTATTTCTCTTACTTTCTGTTTGATGGTTTATTTTCCCTCTGTTAGATAGGTTGTTAGTAAGACCACCTTTAGGCAACCTCTGAAACTATTAAAAGACTCTGCAGAGGAATATCCCTCTTGAGCATGCAAAAGCCCTCAATATGACATAAGTAAAGTAAATAGAGGAACATATAAAAATGATAACACATCATGAACAAGTGAGATTTACTCCATAAATGCAAGGCTGGTTCAAAATTAGAAAATCAATCAGTGTAATTAACTGTATTAACAAACTAAAGAAGAAAAATCTTATCATCTCAGTAGATGCATTTGACAGTATTCAACATGCATTCATGATTTTTTTAAACAATTCTCAAAATACTAGAAATAGAAGAGATTTTCATAAACTGATAAAGAGCATCTATCAAAAAATCCACAGTTATCATACTTAATGGTAAACTGAATGTTTCCCCCTAAGATCAGGAATAAGGCACTTGAGATCCTAGCAAGTACAATTGAGCAAGAATAAGAAATAAAATCTATGGGTTTCAAATACAGAAATGCAACATGAATACCCCCTTAGAAAATGTCAAGGATTCTGAAAAAAGATTGCTATGATTACTAAAATGAACAAATGAGTTTAACAAGATTTCAGGATACAAGATAAATATAAAATGAATAACTGGAAATTGAAATTTAAAGGAAAAAAGTACTATTTGCAATAGCAAGCAAAAAATAACAAGAAATACTTAGGTATAACTATAATAAAATATTTGCATGATCTATATAGTAAAATCACACAACTCTTATAAATAAGTCCAAGAAGATCTAAGTAAATGAAGAGATGTATTCATAGATTTGGAAGATGCAGTATTTTTACGATTGTCAGTGGAAAAAAAACAAATTCTACAAAATAATTAAAAGAGGTTTATTCTGAGCCAAATATGTGTGACTGTGGCCTAGAGAGCCACACTCAAGAACCCTTACGCAAGTGGTCTCCCCATGGCTGTGTTGCAGTTTAGTTCACACATTTCAGGGAGACAGGAATTATACATAAAGTCATAAATCAATACATGGAAAGTATACATTGGTTTGGCCTGAAAAGTCATGACATCTTGAAGCAGGAGATTACAAGTTATAAGTGGGTTTAAAGATTCTTTGATTTATAATTGATTAAAGAAATGAAACTTTCTCTAAAGGCTTGGAATGTTTTAAGTTAAGATAAGGAAGTCCATTAATCAGAGACAAGCCCCTGGACACATACCAGCTATATACCCCAGCTCAAGTGGTCTGTTAAGTCAATTGATGGCCTGCAGGTATGGCTTACCCTCTGTCTTACATGCCCTTAGGCTTGTTAAAGATTCTGTATCTTACTGTTACAAATAATAGCTCCAAAATGGACAGGGCATAACTAGGCGTGTCTGACCTCCCTTCTCCTCATGGCCAGCAACTCAGCTTTAAGGTTTTTGGGGTTTTCTTAGCAGGTGGGTGTCACCTTGGCCAAGAGGCTTGGAGGGCTTAAGATTTAATTTTAGTTCACAAGATGTACATTATCCCAAGCTGATCTATAGATTCAACTCAATCCCAATTATCTGATGTAAAACAATTATATGAATCTAAAATTTATATGGATAATCAAAGGAACTAGAATAGCCAAAATAATTCTGATAAAGAATAACAAAGTTGTAGGATTCACAGTCCAAGATTTGAAGACATGTTATAAACTAGAGTAAGACAATATGATATTGGTGAGAAGACAGACAAATAGATGAAGGAAGGAAGTAGAACAGAGTATAAAAATAGACTCACACACGTGATCAATCTCTTTTTGATCAAGATGCTGAGGCAATTCAATAGAACAAGGAAAGTATTTTCAACAACTGGTGCTGGATCAACTAGGGATCCACATGGAAAAAAATAAACCCCTGACCTCACATCATACACAAAAATTAATTCAAAACAGATCATAAGCCTATATGTAAATCCTGATACAATAGAAATTCTAAAACAAAACATTAAAGAAAAGCTTTGTGATCTTGGGATTGGCAAATATTTCTTGGTTATGGCACCAAAAGCAAGAATCATAAAGGAAAAAAATTGATAAATTGAAATTCATCAAAAAGAAAACCTTTTAATCTAATCTTCAAAAGACACTCTTAAGAGCATGAAAAGACAAGCCACAGACTGGGAGAAAATATTTGCCACACAAATATCAGACAAAAGGCTTATATTCAGAATATAAAAATAACTTTTACTTTATCAATAATAAGACAAACAACTGTCTCCCTCCCTCCCTCAACAACAGGCAAAAGATTTGAACAGACATTTTACCACAGAAGATGTACAAACGGCCAATAAGCACATAAAAAGATGGCAAACACCATTAGTCATCAAAGAAATGCAAATTAAAATCACAATGAGGTACCACAACATACCCATTGGAATGACTAAAATTAAAAATACGGTTGCTGCAATGATGTGGAGGAATTGGAAGTTTCATATGCTGCTGGTAGTAATTTAAATTTTGGAAAACAGCTAAATAGTTTCTTAAAATGTTAAACATACATTCCTATTTTATGTATTACTCCAGTGAAATAAAAACTTATGTCCACACAAACATTTGTACTCAAATATTCATATCAGCTTTATTTGTAATAGTCATACACTGGAAGCAACCTGGAGGCCTATCAGCAGGTGAGTGGTTAGCAAACTGTGGTATATCTGTGCAATGAAACAGAGGAACTAATGGTACACACAGAAACTTGTGTGAGTCTCAGAATCATTATGCTGGGTAAAAGATAGGCGATGAATAGTACACATGGTATAATTCCATTTATATAAAATTTTTAAAGCTGCAAACTAATTTATAGTGATGGCAGAAAGCAGACAAGTATTTGCCAGGAACGAGGAATTGAGGGGGACTGGATAACACAGGGACAGGAGAAAAATTTGGGGGCAACAGCAATATATGTTACCTAGATTGTGATGATAGTCTCATGGGTGTATGCACAAGTCAAAATTCACCAAATTGTATACTTCAGACAGGAGTAGTTAATTGTATGTTGATTATACATCACTTAAATTGTGAAAAAGACAAAAAAAGTAACATTTATTATGTTATTTAATAACATAATTTAAAAGTTACTGGAAAAAATACAATAAAGAAAATAAACAAGTATATATAATATACCCTTTGGTTCAGCAAGCCCACATTTGAGTATTTATACTACACAGAGACAAAAAGCACCAGCTCTTAGGAAGATGTGTTGGGGCAGGGGCGCAAACAAAAGAACATGTGTGCAAGAATGTTTATTTGAACATCTGAACACTATTGCTGAAACACAATATTGAAGCAAAAACAGAGACAACTTAAAATGTGTCTCAGTAAATCAGCAGATCAGTCAAGCACCAAGAACTATTATAGGCTGTGTGTCCCTTATCTGAAATCCTTGGACTGGAAGTATCCCAGATTTCGGATTTGTTCAGATTCTGGAATACTTGCACTTAAATGATGAGATATCTTGGGAATGGGACCTATGTCTACACACATAAACATAAAATTTATTTATGGTTCATTTATATTTTGTACACATAGACCAGAGGTATTTTATACAATATTTTAAATAATTTTATGCATGAGACAGTTTGTTTTAAGTACCTATATGCAGAATTTTCCACTTGTGATGCCATGTCAGTACTCAAAAAGTTTGAATTTTGGAACATTTCAGATTTTAGATTTTCTATTAAACCTGAACCTGTATATAATCATTAAAAGGATCACTTTAATGAATATACTTCAATTGGAAAGGATGTTTATGCTGTATGATTAAATGAATAAAACAAAATGCAAATTCCTGTGGACACTGCTATGGGAGGACACCAGGTGGACAGGTAGGTGGATGGTGAGCCCATGGATGTGTGCACAGGTCTCTCCTACATGTTCGCTTCCAGGAATGAGCACAGAGACAGGTGAGGACAGCTAGGCATGCTAGGTGATGACTGGTTACTTAAAGAAGTCTGAATTTGAAAAGTTTTTGGATTGCTCACACACTCTTGTAAAAATTAGTATGTTTTACTCTTCTGATAAAAAAAATAGTGAAAAGAAAAAGCATTGAAATGAAATAAAACAAAGTTCAACTTGCTTTGAAATGAATCCAAACAATACATTGGCTTGTAGGTTAGAGAAGGTTGGAGACAGAGATGAGATGTGGAAGGGGCAGGTAAATAGAGTCAAATAATTAAATAGGAGGCCATTCAACTGAGGTGGCACTAACACCCTGGCTTCCTACATGAGCAAACTGAAACATGAGACTCATTTCCCATAAGCAGCTAATGTAAAAGAAACCAAAACTTAAGTTCAGGCCAATCACAGGCAGTCAGCTGTGCATCAGTTACGTGGCCTTGAACTTTCCACTGAGACAGTCCAAATAAGGCAGTGGCTCAAACTTGAACCAATCAGATCATCCCACACCACTTCAGGGATGGGGTGGGGCTGTGGGTGGGCAGCCAGATGGATTTGTGAATTGCTGTCTGCTCAAATGAGCCCTCTAAGATTTTCATGTGCTAAAGTTTATCTTTAAGCAACAGCATACTTGCTGCATCACTTGAACATTTCTACAGTGGAACATTGATTGAGGGAAACTAACATAAAACAATAGACAAACAGATAAGGGCTTTGGCCACTGCAAAGGCTACATCTGTAATTCAACAGGTCCTGTCCAGCGCTGTCCTGCACTGCCCGGGCTCCGCACGTGCCCTAGGGCCCCAATCCCAGAAGCACCTGACTGTCCCCTTTTTCACCTGATGCTTGGGACCTGCAGAGGTGTACTACGGAGCCTGGGTCTGGGCATTTCTCCCTAGACACACAGAATCCCATGGAAGGTTTGGGGCCTAGGAAACACTAGGTACCCCAGGTCCCCAGGGCAGCCCTTGCCTCTTGGGGCACCTTTCCCCAAAACTATGGGGACGTTCTAATCACAGGCAGAGCCAAGCTGCCACTCACCAACTCCTACATCCTCACCTTCCTTTCATATCCTCAAACACAAACACCTAATCCTCCAACAATACTCCTTGTCCTATTTTCCCTTTTTGAGGAAGCCAAAGCTTGGAGCAGTCACATCACCTAATCAAGGTCTCATGTCACCTAACCAAAGTTTCATGTCACTTACCTTAGAAAGTGGTAGGGTTTCAGGATAGCTCTTATACCTGCACCTTTGACAGCTTTGCCCTCAGGGCCACTTGTGCGGGTGAGGGAATGCAGGGCCTTCCAACCCCATCCCAACTCTGAAATTCAGCCCCTGTGATCACAATGGACTCTCTGTAGCCCCGTGGGCCCACAGCCCTCAGGGGCTGGATGGGCAGATGTGGCGCTCTCGGCTCCCACTCTGGGGACCTGCCCAGGACATACCCTCCAGGATGGGCCAGGGAGGCTGCTACCATCTGCTTATATATCCCCCTCATCTGGGAGCCAGGACATTCCTGGAAAGCGTGGAGAACTCTGGGGACAGAATGTGCCCTCCCACCTGGCTTGAGCTATGCCCCCAGGAGGAGTGTTGCCTTTCCTTCCAGGTGCCGTCCACCTCCGTATCCCAGGGACTTGCGATAGACCTCAGATTTTTCTCAGGTCCTCCTTTAGGCTTGGGGCCATCCACGTGAATCAAGGCCCAGCAACAGCTGCAGCCAGCCTATCCCAAGATACATCTTAATAAGGATCCAGAGGATCCTTTCTGCAGAAAGCCTGATTGCTGGTGGGCTTCACCCCCAGCCCTTCCTGGTCCAGGGGCTTTGTCTGGGCTCAAGCAATGATGACAAGCGCTCTCCGAGGACCACTTGACTGCATGCTTGGAACTGGGATTCCCCAGGTGGAGGCAGAGTCAAAGGCTCAGCCTGAGCAAATGCAGCGAATGCAGTCATGGGGGGTTTCTGCAGCATCCCATCCGCCTGTTCTTACAGTAAACCGAGCTCACTTCCATTGGCTGCAAACGGTGGAGTGATGTGACCATATGTCACTTGGGCATTACACAAATCCTAATGAGCTAAAAGTATGTTTGTTTTAGCTAATTGACCTCTTTGACCTTCATAAACCAATTGGTAAACATGCTCAGACAATGACTTCCAGAGAACGGATTGTGGCTCTCATCCATGCAGAGAAAGCCCCCCAATCCCCAAGACCAAGTTCCCTGGCTGCCTGTTGAGGAGCACAGGGGATCCTGCCTGCTGCCCGCTCAGCCCAGGAAGTATTGCTCCCCTGAGCTCCCCTAGTGTCCTGCCCTGGCTTTATGACCAGAGGGATCCAGAGACAAAGCAGGGGTTCTGGGTTCTGACTCCATAGCAGGCATTCTTGGCTATCTCCAGCAAGTAAGTCGCAAGCAGGCCCCAACACTTCCGTGAGAAGTAGCAGGATTGGGAGCCAGAGGGCCTAGCAGTCCTCCTTGCGCTGGGCCATGTGCTCCATGCAAGAAGGGGAACGACTGGACTCTGTGTGGGTCTCAGGACCACAGACCCAAGTCCTCCTGCAACTCAGTTCTCCTTGCAAGCGGCAGGCTGCAAGCCGAGCCCTGAACTAGGAGGGTCTTTCTTAGTCAAGAGAACGATGCTCACTAGCTCTCAGAGCTGAATTTGTGTGCGCTGGAATTGCTGGCCCCATGTGGTCTGGTGGGCACCTCTCCACTCCACACCCCACATGGAGGTCCAGATATAACGTTTCCTGACATTAGAAAGCTGCGGGGGCCCAGCCTGTCATCTGGAGGCATTAAGAGGGCACAGGAAATAACCTCTAGCCCAAGGCTAACGGCAGCCACAGACCCGACCTCTGCACTATCTGAACTGACTGTGGCCCACGGGCCCCTCCTCGCCACCTCCTACCTGCCCCTGCCAAAATGAGGGGCTTCAGCCAGCTGCTAGAGTCACTGGCCTGCTTCTTTGCTATAAAACAGAGACAGTATTGAATGCGAAGAACTCACCATTAACAGAGTGCTTCCTACTTGTTGGCCACTGGGATGTGCGTAGCATATATTTTTCACTTAATCTACACAATAAGTAATATCCTTCCCTAAGACCACAGAATAGTGGTGGACATGGGTCTCCAAGAGGTCCGCCTAATTCCAGAGTCATTGGTCACCCAGCACAGTGGGGACATGCTGTTGGCTTGCAGGTTAATAGCTCTGCTCTGCAAGGCTCTGGTGAACAGGGTCAGCTTGTAAAGCAGGAAGCAGTGTCTGGCATGTGGCAGAAACTCAGAATAAATGGCTGTTATTCATGTCTTGACATGCAGAGGTGGTGCAGCAAGATGACACACAACATACCTTCTGGGTCAAACCACCCCAGCCATGTCTCCCCAGTCTCTGGGCCAATGTGCTTGAATTAGACAGGATTAAAGGCTTACTGGAGCTGGAAGTCTTGCCCCAGCTCCAGAGTTTAACCCCAGACCTTCTGTCTGCCAGCCGAGAAGGGCGAGGTGGAAGGCTGCGCAGAGCAGGGCGTGGGCTGCCCATGCCGAGGGAGCTTCTGTGCTTCCCCTGAGCTTCCCAGCCTCCCCTGGACTCCACAATGAAAGAATGGGTCCTGCTCCTAACCACACTGCTCTGCGGCTTGGCTGGCCCCACACACCTGTTCCAGCCGAGCCTGGTGCTAGACATGGCCAAGGTGCTCTTGGACAACTACTGCTTCCCCGAGAACCTGGTGGGGATGCAGGAAGCCATCGAGCAGGCCACCAAGAGCCGTGAGATTCTGGCCATCTCAGACCCTCAGACGCTGGCCCAGGTGCTGACAGCCGGAGTGCAAGGCTCCCTGAATGACCCTCGCCTGGTCATCTCCTACGAACCCAGTACCCTCGAGCCTGCCCGGCAGGCCCCGGCACTCACCAACCTCACACAAGAGGAGCTGCTGGCCTGGCTGCAGAGGGGCCTCCGCCATGAAGTTCTGGAGGGCAATGTGGGCTACCTGCGGGTGGATGACATCCCAGGTGAGGAGGTGCTGAGCAAGCTGGGGCAGTTTCTGGTGGCCCACGTCTGGAGAAAGCTCATGGGCACCTCTGCCTTGGTGCTGGATCTGCGGCACTGCACAGGGGGCCAGGTGTCTGGCATTCCCTACGTCATCTCCTACCTGCACCCGGGGAACACGGTCCTGCACGTGGACACCATCTACGACCGCCCCTCCAACACGACCATGGAGATCTGGACCTTGCCCCAGGTCCCGGGAGAGAGGTACAGTGCCGACAAGGACGTGGTGGTCCTCACCAGTGGCCGCACCGGGGGCGTGGCCGAGGACATCGCCTACATCCTCAAGCAGATGCGCCGGGCTATCGTGGTGGGTGAGCGGACAGTGGGGGGCGCCCTGAACCTGCAGAAGCTGAGGATAGGCCAGTCCAACTTCTTCTTCACCGTGCCCGTATCCAGGTCCCTGGGCCCCCTGGGAGGGGGCGGCCAGACATGGGAGGGCAGCGGGGTGCTGCCCTGTGTGGGGACGCCGGCCGAGCAAGCCCTAGAGAAAGCCCTGGCCATCCTCACTCTGCGCCGTGCCCTGCCGGGGGTCGTCCACGGCCTACAGGAGGCGCTGCAGGACTACTACACACTGGTGGACCGCGTGCCCGCCCTGCAGAACCACCTGGCCAGCATGGACTTCTCCACCGTGGTCTCCGAGGAGGACCTGGTCACCAAGCTCAACGCCGGCCTGCAGGCTGTATCCGAGGACCCCAGGCTCCTGGTGCGGGCCGTTAGGTCCAGAGAAACCCTTCCTGGGCCCGAGGCTGGAGCTGAAGACCCCCCAGGGGCGGCCCCAGAGGTGCCCGAGGACGAGGCTGTCCGGCAGGCCCTGGTGGACTCCGTGTTCCAGGTGTCGGTGCTGCCGGGCAATGTGGGCTACCTGCGCTTCGACGGTTTTGCCGATGCCTCTGTGCTGGGGGCACTGGGCCCGTATATCCTGCGCCAGGTGTGGGAGCCCCTGCAGGACACAGAGCACCTCATCATGGACCTGCGCCACAACCCCGGGGGGCCATCCTCGGCCCTGCCCCTGCTGCTCTCGTACTTCCAGGACCCCGAGGCTGGCCCCGTGCGCCTCTTCACCACCTACGACCGCCGCACCAATGTCACGCAGGAGCACTTCAGCCACACCGAGCTGCTGGGCCCGCGCTACAGCACCCACCGCGGGGTGTACCTGCTCACCAGCCACCGCACTGCCACGGCCGCCGAGGAGTTCGCTTTCCTCATGCAGTCGCTGGGCTGGGCCACACTGGTGGGCGAGATCACCGCGGGCAACCTGCTGCACACCCGCACGGTGCCGCTGCTGGACACGCCCGAGGGCGGCCTGGCGCTCACTGTGCCTGTGCTCACCTTCTTTGACAACCACGGCGAGGCCTGGCTGGGCGGCGGCGTGGTGCCCGATGCCATCGTGCTGGCCGAGGAGGCCCTGGACAGAGCCCAGGAGGTGCTGGAGTTCCACCGGAGCCTAGGGGCCTTGGTGGAGGGCACAGGGCACCTGCTGGAGGCCCACTACGCACGGCTGGAGGTCGCCGGACAGATGGGCGCCCTGCTGCGAGCCAAGCTGGCCCAGGGAGCCTACCGCACGGCAGTGGACTTGGAGTCGCTGGCCTCCCAGCTCACGGCCGACCTGCAGGAGGTGTCTGGGGACCACCGCCTGCTGGTGTTCCACAGCCCCGGCGAGCTGGTGGTGGAGGAGGCGCCACCACCACCCCCTGCCATCCCCTCTCCAGAGGAGCTCTCCTACCTCATTGAGGCCCTGTTCAAGACAGAGGTACTGCCCAGCCACCTGGGCTACCTCCGTTTTGATGCCATGGCTGAGCTGGAGACGGTGAAGGCCATTGGGCCGCAGCTGGTGCGGCTGGTGTGGCAGAAGCTGGTGGACACAGCGGCGCTGGTTGTTGACCTGCGCTACAACCCTGGCAGCTATACCACGGCCGTGCCACTGCTCTGCTCCTACTTCTTTGAGGCAGAGCCCCTCCAGCACCTCTACTCCGTCTTTGACCGGGCCTCTTCAAGGGTCACAGACGTGTGGACGCTGCCCCAGGTTGCTGGCCAGCGCTACGGCTCCCACAAGGACCTCTACATCCTGATGAGCCACACCAGTGGCTCCGCGGCAGAAGCTTTTGCTCACACCATGCAGGACCTGCAGCGGGCCACGGTCATTGGGGAGCCCACGGCTGGAGGGGCTCTCTCTGTGGGCATCTACCAGGTGGGCAGTAGCCCCCTATATGCCTCCATGCCCACCCAGATGGCCCTGAGTGCCACCACAGGCCAGGCCTGGGACTTGGCTGGCGTGGAGCCCGACATCACCGTGCCCATGAGTGAGGCCCTTTCCACAGCCCAGGACATAGTGGCCCTGCGTGCCAAGGTGCCCACAGTGCTGCAGACAGCCGGGAAGCTGGTAGCCGATAACTATGCCTCCCCCGAGCTGGGGGCCAAGATGGCTGCAGAGCTGAGCGGTCTGCAGAGCCACTACTCCAGGGTGACCTCGGAAGCAGCCCTGGCCGAGATGCTGGGGGCTGACCTGCAGATGCTCTCCGGGGACCCACACCTGAAGACAGCCCATATCCCTGAGGATTCCAAGGACCGAATTCCTGGAATTGTGCCCATGCAGGTGAGATTCAAGGGAGACTTGGCCTGGTGCAGTCCCAGGAGTCCACGTGTGCAGCGCTATGTGCAGAGGCTCCCCTCTTTCTCGCCCAGTTAGCCCATCCACTCTCCATACCCAGGGCCCCTGAACACCCTCGTAGATCATGAGTCCTCACAGCAACCCAGTTTGAATGCCCCGGGACAGAGCGTTTCAGTCTTAGTTGGGAGGAAGGCAAGTGCTGGCAGGGCTTCTCATTGTCCTCTTGGGGAAAGAGGAGTGCTGGGTAGGGACAGGCATAGCTGAAATCAGAGGGGCTGAGGGCACCAAAAGCCTCTGCCACAGAACTGTCACCCCCATTTTACACAAAGGGAAACTGAGGCCTGGAGGGGTGCAAAGAGGAGTGGGCTATGGCCAAAGTGCTGTGACCAAGGGAAGAGCAGGGCCTGGAGCTGGTGTCCCTGTCAGCGCTGGCCCCTCACGCTCGGCCGGCTCACTGAGCTGCCACCCACCGCAGCCGTGCAGAGGGAGGGAAGTGCAGCCACGTTGGGGTAGCTGGTGCTGCCCGCTACTTTCCAGCACAGCACAAACGTCACCGTTTGGAGTAAGATTCAGATTCTAGCTCCACCACTTACTGCTGTGTGAACTCAGGCAAGTGATTTACCCTCTCTCTGTGGTTCAGTTTCTTTAGAGAAGATGGGAATAATGGTGTCCCTGTGCAGGGTGGCTGTGAGGGTGAGGACAGGGGCCACAAAGTGCTTAACACAGGGCCAGGCCCCTGGTAAAGGCAGCTGGCCTCTTCCCTCCCCACCCGAGTGCAGGAGAGCAGGACGCGCCCAGGGATGTTGGGAAGTGCCTGGGGAGGGTAGAGGCCTCAGAGAAGAGACCATGCTGAGCCTTGCACTCTGGGCACCAGGCCGTGGGGTTGTCACACAGGTGCATTCTCTGCAAGGAGGCTGCCAATGGATCGTGCATGTGTTCACAGCCCAGGCCCACCACCCAGGTAACCTCCCAGACATGCCACTGGGAAAGCCCCTGGCACCTACGGACTCCTCCAAAAATGTTAGTTCCCAAGCCATGCCCCTGATATTTCCCACAATGTAAGGGAGCCCTGAGGCGCCCACTTTCCTGGGCTCTGAAACTGGCTGCTCTCCTGACACTGAGCATGACCTCTAACTCTTATAGATCCCTTCCCCTGAAGCCTTTGAAGACCTGATCAAGTTTTCCTTCCACACTAACGTACTTGAGGACAACATCGGCTACTTGAGGTTTGACATGTTTGGGGACTGTGAGCTGCTCACCCAGGTTTCCGAGCTGCTGGTGGAACACATTTGGAAGAAGATCGTGCACACGGATGCCATGATTATCGACATGAGGTCAGTGTGCCAGGGGTCAGTGTTTCCTGGCCAGGCCGCAGCACTAGCCAGGAGACAGTCAAGGCTATGGGACACAGCAGAGAAGAAAAGGACCCTGTGACCAGCAGAGGATCTGAGAGGGACCATGTCCTCAGCTGGAAGCCAGCTAGCCCAGGGGTTCTGATTTAATTGCCCAGTGGGACCCCAAAACTGTAGTGTTTTTGAGCTCTTCTAATGACTCCAGTGTGCATTCCAGGTTGAGATTACCCCAAGCTTGCCTGGTCATAGTCTTCAACTGGTGTGGGGGTGGGGAAAGGGGACATGAAAAACACTGATCCTGGGTCCCACCCCTGCCCTACTGAGTCAGAAGCTCCAGGTGGCAGGCCTGATCATCTGCATATCTGACAGACGTCCAGACAATTCTGGTGATCAGTTGTGCTTGGGACAACAGGCCCTCCACCTGTGGTCATGTCTCACATCATACGAAATTAACCCACAAGAGCCCTGGTCATGAGAATCATAAAGGCAGAGCCCCGGGAAAATTGGAAAATAACCACTACTGTTGGCAAAAGAATTCTTTGCATCACAAAATGATTGTTGGAAGGGTGTCTTCAGCTAGCTGCCACCTGCCATGCTTCTGTAAAAGCATGCCTCATTGCAGTGAGTTTCCGCCGTAGACAGGCAGTAGCCAGCCCAGGCCTCTCGTGAATCGGTCCATCAGTAGACGTGCCCTGGCACTCTCCATGGGCACAGAAGGGGCAGGCTCCCCTCTTGGATGGAATACTTCCCACCCTCCCCTGCTGTCTGAGAGGCAGCGGGACTGGCAGAGCAGAAACACCAAGTCCAGCCCCAGTTCACTGGCTGGTGACACTCACATCGTTCTCAGTCATCGCTAGGTGGCTCTAGATCCCACAGAGGCTGGTTCTTCTCCCTGGAAGATAAAACACTAGCCACAGCCCCAGTGCTGTGTGCTCACAGCCTGAGTCTGAAGCCCCTGTGGCAGTTTATTCTTTTGATGCATTACAGAACATGCAAGAACCGAGCCTCACGCTAAGTCCTTTCTGCTGACCTATGCCACATTTAAAGAGGAGACAGCCCCAGGCTACAAGTGCACCCTGCTAAACAATCCTTCTGTCCTCAAGGTTTGTTTGGAGGTCCAGATGCTGAGGTCAAGGGTCCTGAACCCAGCCGGGCCCTCCTAGATCATCAAAGGGAAGAGGTTCCTAACATAGCACCAGCCCCAAATAGGGAGACAGGAGCCCAGCAAGGCCACACTCTGGGACAAATCCAAGGGCCTGGGATGGACTTCCTCACTCTCATTGTGGTCCCACAACTCTGAGTACTCACCACGCTAAGTGCCCTGGTAGGATGCCTGAACACCTGATTAAGATCTCTGGTGAGTTTTGTAATATTGTCACAAAATGCAACTGGGGGAACAGGGTTTCCCAAAATGTGCTCTACTTGTAAGGAGGATGGATACAAAGGAGTAGTTTATGGTCAATAATTGAGTGAAATTTACAGAGAGTTCCTAACTACAGGACTTGTCAGGGCCTTTCATATATTTAATGTGATCAGAGGGGGAGGGTATGGTATTTAGTATTTGCTAAATGTATTTGACCACAAGTGTCTTGTTCTCAAGAGACTAGTACCCTGGGAATGCTGGGAAATGCTGGAAAATGCTGACCCATGGCATTCCAAAGGAGGAGGAAGAGGCACTAGACTGAAGCTGCCTAGAATCACTAATAGAACCTTTCCCAGAGCAAAGAACCGGGCCTCCCAGAGGGGTGTGGAGGCCTGACTGAGTTCAGCCCCTCACCAGGCTCCACTTCCTGTCCTCAGGTTCAACATCGGCGGCCCCACATCCTCCATTCCTGCCTTGTGCTCTTACTTCTTTGACGAAGGCCCTCCGGTTCTGCTGGACAGGATCTACAGCCGGCCCAACGACTCTGTCAGCGAACTCTGGACACACACCCAGGTTGCAGGTACTGGGGAGGCTGCCCCTACCTGTTCTCGTTCTAGAAGCTTCTAGGAAGTCAGGGAAAGACAGCTTGGGTTTCGGTAAAAGCCAAAGCGACTGGAATATAAAGTCCCTGACCGCATCCCTGCGCCTGATGCAAATGCCCTAGAACCCTGGCGGAGCAGGCGCCACCATGCCCATTTTCTAGGGGAAGAGTTGGGGGCAGCTAGATCAAATATCTTGGCTGGGCCACTCAGTTAATAAGTGAAAGAGCCAAAGAGTGAATGTCAGTTTGTCTAATACCAAAATGCCCTCAATCCCACCACTACAACCACCAGCCTACAAATGCAGAATTAGAAGGACCACCTGCCCGTCACCAAACCCAACGGGCATTTCCCGTGTCCATCTTCCCTGAACTCTCAGCAGCAGCCCCACACTCTCTCCTGAAGAAAGTCCCGGAGGCTAATGGGGCTTCTGGGCACAGAGCTGCGGGGCACAGAGCAGGGCCAGAGGCGCAGAGGCAGGCCCCGCACTCAAGAGACCCACACTCAAGCCCCGCAGGGCCGGCTGCGCTCTAGCTGCCCTGCCAGCATGGGAAACCAGGGCGGCTGTGCGCCCACGCAACCAAGAGGGCTGGAGACCAACGGGGGTGTGGCTCTGACCAGAAAACACCGCCACTGTCATGTCTATGCTCTGTCAGTATGAAGGCACTTGGCTGTAGCTTCCCGGACATACATTCAATAATATTTCAAAATGTAAATAAAAATCAGAACCAGGTGAATTCTAAATTCAAGTGACATCAAAGACCAGGAGTTAAAATTAGACTCAGATGGGCAGATCATAAGGTCCCACATGGGGCCACAAGCCACCGGCGGTCACAGAGCCCCTGGCATGTGGCTTGTCTGGAATGAGATGTGCTGTCGGTATAAAATGCATGCCTGATTTTAAAGACTTTTGGGAAAAAAGGAAAAGAAAATACCTCAATAATTTTATTTGATTACATTTTGAAATGAACATATCTTGGATATTTGGGTTAAATAAAAACATTAAAATCAATTTTATCTGCTTCTGCTTGTTTAATGTGGCTACTAGAAGACTTAAAAAGCCACCTGTGGCTGGCGCTCCGGCTCACATCACATTTCTATTGGGCGGCGCTACCCTGATGGGTTGTCCTTGCTAAGTCACAAATTTGGCTTTTCTGAGGGTCCAGAGTGAAAAGAAAATTGGGTCAGATCAGATGTCCGTGTCACTCATGGAGAAAGAGCATGTGCCTTCCTCAAGAAAGTCAGGCCTTTCCTAACACATGTCAGCAAAAAAATTAAGTTTTTAGATCTAAAGAATCACATGAGCCACAGATGCAGGGCACACACCTAAGTTTTCTAGAAGCCACATTTTTAAAAGGCATAAAGAAACGAGTGAAATGGATTTCAATAGCATATTCTAATAGCATACAAACAAATGGGGGAGTTCTCAAGCACTTCAAAATGCTCATCACAGGGCAAACACTCTTGTCCCCATTATACAGATGCAGACGTCAAGGCTCAGAGAAGTCAAGTGGCTTGCATGTGGACACAGGGATGCAGAACTAAACCCCAAGCCCTCTACACTGCAGGTCCAGACAGCATAGAGTATGCAGGTGCCAGGCATCCTGACTTGCCCCCCGTCCTGAAGGGCCTTCTGTCTTCCAGGTGAACGCTATGGCTCCAAGAAGAGCATGGTCATTCTGACCAGCAGTGTGACGGCTGGTGCTGCAGAGGAGTTTACCTACATCATGAAGAGGCTGGGCCGGGCCCTGGTCATTGGGGAGGTGACCAGCGGTGGCTGCCAGCCACCACAAACCTACCATGTGGACGACACCCACCTTTACCTCACTATCCCCACAGCCCGCTCTGTGGGGGCTGCAGATGGAAGCTCCTGGGAAGGGGTGGGGGTGACCCCCCACATGGCTGTCCCTGCAGAAGTAGCTCTCACCAGAGCCAAAGAGATGCTCCAACACAAGCTGCTGAGGTTGAGGCGGAGCACAGGCCTGCAGGGCCACTCAGAGGGCCCCCATGGGCAGAGCCCTGGGGCGGGGAGGACCTCTGGGCCATCCACCACCAGTGTTTCTGCACATGGTCCTGCCTGAGGCTCATGGGGGCAGCGGGGTGCCTGCCAAGCTCTGGGTAGGCTTGGAGTTGGAGGCACCCTCGGAGGTCAGGGCTCTGGGCTCCATACCACTGCACAGATCCTTTCTGTTTGAACACCCAGAGGCAGAGAGCTCACCCCCTTCAAAGACACCCCCCATAGTGAAGTCCAGACCTGTTCCTGTCCATGTTCTCTAACCACCAACCCCTGAGCCTCCCGCTGCCACCTTGAGCAGCTCCGCCCAATAGAATCACGTGAGCCGCAGATGCAAGGCACACGCGTCTCTTAAAATTTTCTAGAAGCCATATTTTTAAAAAGCATAAAGAAACATGTGAAATGAATTTCAATAGTATATTCTAATAGCACAACTTATTTAACCTATTCCTATCCATGGTACTATGAACGTGTATTCAAAATAAAAATTATTATGGATGAGATGTGTTTGTAGCAAGTCTTTGAAATGTGGTATGCAGTTTGTGCTTACAACACATTTCCAGACCGTGCCAGGGCTCGGTGGCCACCTGCAGCTCGTGGCTGCCATGTAGGGCAGAGGTCCCACTACCCCAGCACACTGCCCTGTGACCATTTCTCTACTGCCATGCTGTGCAGCCCTCAGGGACAGGAGCTGCCTCGCTCATCCTCCCCTCCCTACTGACTGACCCGTAGCAGGGCACCTGGCTCAGGTGGTGCATGCTCAGTGACCGCACACCAATGTCAGGAGGCACAGAAGGGAGTCTGCACTGCCCCCGAGGGTGGCTCTCAGACGCTTGAACTGAGGGAGCCCAAGGCTAACCTGGGGAACAGGCCCCTACTGGTGCCCTGGCAGCCATACAGCCCTGCTCTGCCTGAGGGACCAGGGACTGAAAAGGAAGCAAGCTCTAAGGCCCTGCCCAAAGTCCTGGTGGGGGTGAGGCGGGAGCGGGAGGAAAGCCCTGCGGCAGTCGCAGTCGCAGCCATGCTTGGGGAGCCAGGGCTCTGCCCACTTGCTGAGGACTGAGCACCGGCATTGTCCAGCCTGGGCACCTGGTGAGCTCAGGCTGCAGCTGCCCAGGCTCCAAGCTCCATTTGAGCTGGCCCAGCTGAGCCTCCCAAAGGCGACTTCTTCCAGTCCCCTCCCCAGCCCCCAGAGAGCTATGCAATCTGGGCAAACCACAGAGCCACCCACCAATACTTGGAGGATTTCTGTGAGGACAACCCTTGAGCCAGCCTTGTCTAAACGCTGCCGGGCTGAAGGCAACATTTCACTCCACTTCCTTTTTCTTCTGCTATAGTCAGACAAGATTAAGTGTAACAATTGAATTTTAGTAGTAGTATATATAATGTGAGCTCAACTTTTTTAACCCTACAATGCTCATATTCCTCTGTCTCCCCCTCTTTTTCAGATATTTATGGCTATCTGATCATCACCTATATTTTAACAGTAGGTGATAAAATTTGGGGTGATATTTTTATTTTTCTTCTTTATGCTTTGCTCTTTTTCTTAAATCCTCATAATAAGCATGTATCATTTTCAAATGCAGCAGTCATCCAAAATATAAAATAAATTAGATAAAATGAATTATATAATTGAGCCATGAACCATAACTTAATAATCACTAGTGATGATGAGATCTATTTTTTCGTAGCTTTTCCTTTCTCATCATTTGGATTTCCCTGATCGGCACCACTGGCCTTTATCGACAGCTGACTTGCTTAAGGTGTGCTGTCAGGTGCTGTGGGGTCAGCAGGCAGCAAAGGTCCCACGGGTCTTAAATAGGGAAGTTCTCGCTCCTGCACTTCCGGACGCATCGCCAGCCTCTGTCACCCAGACACAGGAACCAGCTGAGACTCAGACAAGCTCAGTAACCCGACCTATTTCCACCACATTCTGCATAGGCCTTAGGCCTGGTCCAAATGGAGGAGCTGAGGTGGAGAGAAGCTAAAGTCCTGTGCAGCAAAGTAAAAAGGATGGCCTTCCTGAACGCAAGGCTTCTTACACTTCACCTGCTTGCAGACAGAAGACTGAAGAAAAAGGAAAAGGAAAACAAAATCCCACCAGACCTCTCTTCTGGTGGCAGACCCAGAGGGCCAACAGCTGCCTAGCTGCCTCTGCTCAGACGGGCCCAGGCCCCTTAAACTCTCTGTGCCCTGGTCTGAGCTCAACACCTCCACCCAGCCCCGCCCTGCCCTGCCCTGCCCCGCCCTGCCCACCCCTGGCCCGCTCCTGCCCCACCCTGCCCCACCCTACCTGCTCCTGCCCTGCCCCACCCTGCCTGCCCCTGGCCTGCTCCTGCCCCGCCCTGCCCCACCCTGCCTGCCCCTGGCCCGCTCCTGCCCCCAGCTCACCATCTTGCACCAGCTGTCCCCAACCATTTTGGCGCCAGGGATGGGTTTCATGGAAGACAATTTTTACACGGATGGTTGTGGGGGGTAGGGGTGATGGTTTTGGGATGATTCAAGCACATTATATTTATTGTGCACTTTATTTCTAATATGACATTGTCATTTGCCTCTCCCTGATAGGGTTTTGATATGTGTCTGCAAGCAATTGGCTTATTATGGTCTCTGTGCAGTCAGACCTCTCTGCTAATGACAGTCTGTATTTGCAGCTGCCCCCCGCCCCCCAGTGCTTGCACCACCACCTCAGCTCCACCTTGGGTCATCAGGCATCAGATTTTCATAAGGAGCACAACCTAGATCCCTCGCCTGCACAGTTGACGGTAGAGTTCACGCTCCTGTGAGAATCTAATGCCGCCACTGATCTGACAGGAGGCGGAGCTCGGGCAGTGATGCCAGTGATGGGTGGGGAGTGGCTGTCAATACAGATGAAGCTTCACTAGCTCGCCCCGCTGCTCACCTCCTGCTGTGTGGCCTACTTACTAACAGCCACGGTCCACGCCCAGGGGGTGGGGACCTCAGTCTTGTGCACAACCACTCGTCCGTGCTGACACTCAGGTTCTCCCTTCTCTGCCTACCATGATGGCCAGGTAGTCACATAGGACCAAGCAGGGCAGGCTGGGAGTGGCTCTTTCGACGTGGCATCCCAGGGTGCTGGAGTGCCCCCAGGAGTCCAGCTCAACCCTGTTGTGACAATGTGTGTGACACATGGATTACAAAGGCCACAGAGAAAGCTACCTGCTTGGGGCAAGACAGGCCTAGGGGCTTCCCTGCTTCTCCATCCCAGCCCAGGCCACACTCTGAGCAGCCAAACTATGAGGTGGTTGGGTGGAGAAAGGAACACAGGCTGTGCTGGGCCCATCTTCTGCCTTTCTGTGCACTCCCCAGGGACAGAACCTAAGGATGCCAGGCCAGCCACAGGGCAAGTGGTGGAAGCAGAGTGAGGTGCTCCAGAGAGGACCAGAGTGGAGCAGCAGGGGCAGGGAGCAGGCACAGTCCACTCGAGGGCGCAGCTGCTCCCTGACCAGGGACTACTGGCACATAGAGGGTGCAGGGTGGAAGGCAGTGGCTCTGTGAGGGGTCAAGACATTGCATACCTGCAAGGCCCACACCCCAGTGAAGCCGGAACTAACATCCGGCTTCTGGAAACTGTTGCTTGCTTGCCATGGAAACCGTTGCTTGCTTGCTTGATTGCGCCAACTTTGCATTGTTCGGACCCCTGTATAGTGGGGCTGCCAGCCAACCAATCATGTTAAAGGTCAATGCATGACCACGCGTGATCAGCCATTGCATAGCGTATGCACCATAGGGATAAAAGGCACGCTGCAACTCCAGTCGGGGTCCTTGCCTGCAAGAGTGGCCACTGTGTTGGTGCTCTAGGGCTTGGACCCTGGCTAGCCAGAAAATAAACCTCCTCTTATGTAATTGCATCCTCGATGTCTCTGCTTTTCTGTCCGGTGGAGCTGTGGAAGGTCGGTCCCTAACAGCTCTGGGTACTGGGGGTCCATGTCCAAGGTGCTCTTGGCCAGCAACAAGGCATGCCTCTGCCAGGCTCTGTAAGGAGAAGGAAAGGTGACCTTCACCTTCAAGTCCTTGCTGGAGACTTGGCCCACAATGCCCTGGGCATAGGGGCCAGGGACTACTGCAGCAATATGCTCCATTTAAAAGGACTGTGAAGGGGACGCCTGGGAGACCCCACAGATCCCTGCTTTCTGGCCTGGCTGGAACACTGAAGGGGAGAAGCCTGTCTCTTCATCTTGCTCACTGTCCTCCTCTTGCGTCCCTGCACCCGCCCCACACAGTCAACGGGCAAGGCCTCTCGTCAGGGAGGCCCTGTCTACTCCTACAGCTGTCATCCAGGGTGAGGACAGGACTCAGAAAGAAAAGCAATCCAGCCCCATCACACCCCTGGGCCAGGAAACCCACTGCCGAGAGCACCCACCTCCTGCCCCTGGTGCCCATGGGACTTATTGACAGCTGCCACCTGGCCCAGCGCCCGCCTCTCTGCTTTGCTGGCCAGGGCGGCCAGAGCTGAAAATAGCCTCCTAATCCAAGAGGCTTAGAATAGCAAGGAGATAAGACTCAGGGGCCCCTGCCTCCTGCCCCAGGAAAACACAAGACAGATGGGAAGAAGGGGGTTCTCTCCCTGCAGGAAGCAACTCCCCAATCCCATTGAAAATTGGTTTCCAAAAATTCTTCTCTCCTAGGAAGTGTCACAACCCAAAACATGTTGGAGAATGACTTATGTTAGAGGCAAGGACCCTCAAAGACCCTCAACTCCCCTATGACTTGTCCTACGCACGAACTTCGCCCTGGAAAATTCCAGCTATAGCTCCGAGAAGAACGCAGTCCATGACATGCTGACCACGGAATGCTCCAGGATGTGTTGACTGCAAATGTTCCGGTTGGAGATGAGTAATCAGTCAAAAACAGGATACTGATAAGACACTGATTAGGGCTAATCAACCCAGACCCAAGCCTCATCGTCACCACTCTATTTTTTGTTTTGACTTCCTTGTTTTTGTATGCTTATAAAACCTACTAAAAATCTAAGTAAAGCAGACCTTGACAACCATTTGCTTGGTCTCGTTTCTTTCTCTCGCTCATCTCTTTCAGGCACGGTCCCCCTCGCCCCCGCGAGTAACAGAAGGTCCCGCGGGCCGGGACAATGGTTCTTTATATAATCTGGGTATTCACTTCTTTAAAAAAACCCAAAATTACGCAAATGAAGGGTGTGTAAAACCTTCTCTGCAGTGGGGGCCTGCTGCCTGCAGGTGGCGCCTGCTTCTCAAGGGAATGCAGGGTGTGGGGCTGGCTGGGGCATCTCTTGCTGTCACCGCTAGTGAGGGTTCTCCCTGTGCCTGCCAGAAGAGGATGGGTGGGTGAGGCCAGAGTGCCAGGCCCAGCACCTGCCTGTTTAAAGGCTGGCAGTATGACAGAGTCAGCAGTCACCAGCTATGGTCACCACCGCCGCCACTGGCATGCTTGCTGAATCCATGCTATTTTGGCCATCCACCAGTGTTTTAAAAACAACTGAGTCACTTGTCAACTAATTTCATACAAAGACCTTCTTTCTGGCTTCTCTCAAGCCCCATGTTTGGCCTGGCTCTGAAGAGCCTTCACCCAGGACATATGAGCTACAGGTGCCAAGACACCCCCCACCCCCACCCCCAGGCCCCGTGCACCTTCATTCACTTTCACTAGCCTAATTATATAGTCATTTGAGTTCAGGATCCTTGGCCTAAAGATTCAGGAATTGGCAAGAGGTTGAAATGTTGGAGTCCAGCCTTGTGATGGTTTTTTTTTTTTTTTTTTTTACTTCTCTCCCACGTAAAAACAGAAAATTCGATTTTGGTTAAAATTGAGAACTAAAATGGATCTGAATTCAGAATGTCTTAGCTTCATTAACATATGTTGAGGACTTTTATAAATCTTAATTAAATGGCTGCCACTAGGAGATAATTTATTAAGACATAATTTGATCGAAAGTGGAAAAACTGGCAGAATAGGACTGACCTCTTGGCTCTCAGCTCTCAGGGTGAGAGGTGCAGAGTACAGCCAACCACACGCAAGTCATCTGCACCTACTTTGGATCAGCTTTGCAAGACTGCAAAGAGACACCAGGATATGGAAATCGTGGACAATAACCAAAGGTGAACTGAAATTCTTCCACAAAACCTGGGGAGTTGGAAATATAGTGGGGAGGGAGCACACCCGTGTGTCAGCCGCCCACAGGCTGGCCGGAGGAGGCACCCCTTCCCCACCGACCCACTCCCACACAGGCAGGGACTTGCCTGCAGGTGGTGGGAGGCGGCAGAGGAGCGGTGTGGAGGGAGTCTGGGGCAGGCAGCATATTGAACTCTCCGCAGCGCCCGGCTGAAGCAGTGGCGGGCGGGGGACCGTGGCTTGGAGCCGCCGCGGAAGGCCGCACTGGAGGCGTTTTTCAGGCATCCCCACTACCCTAAACCAGCTGAAGTTTGCGCTTCTAGAGAAGGCATCTTTCTGAGCTCCCAGTGCTCCGCTAAAGCAGTAGTGGGTGTGGAAAAGGTCCGAGCCCAGCAGCGGCTTCCCAGCCCCACTGCCCCACCCCGTGGATTGGAGACCCCGCAGACGGCCCTGCTGGAGGCATTTTTCAGGCATCCCACTACCCTAGGCCAGCTGAACTGTTCGATCTTCTGGAGAAGACATCTCTTTGAACTCCCAGAGCTCCACTGAAGCAGTAGCAGGAGGGGTAGGGTCCGAACCTGCAGCCTCGTCCTAGCACCGCCGCGCTGCCCCGTAGCTTGGAGACCCTGCAGGGTGCCGCGCTGGAAGCATTTTTCTGGCACCCCCTCTACCCTAAACTGGCTGAACTGATCGGGCTTCTGGAGAAGGCAACTTGTTGAGCTCCCAGCGCTCCGCTGAAGCAGTATTGGGAGGGAGAGGGTCCGAACACAGCAACCGCTTCCCAGCTCTGCTGCACCGCTTCATAGCTTGAAAACACTGCGAAGGGCTGTGCTGGAAGCAGGCTCAGGCGTCCCCTCCACCCCAAACCAGCTGATCTGATAGGGCTTCTGGATAAGGCAACTTTATGAGCTCCCAGCGCTCTGCTGAAGCAGGTGCAGGAGCTGAACCTGCAGGTGCAGAACTCAGTAGGCGTCTCCCTGTGCCACAGAAATGAGTGCCTAATTGGACATTCCACCTCAGGATGCTTCCAGGTCCAGGAAGTGAGGACTCTACCTTAAAGGAGGCTTGGCCTTTGGATACCGTTGAAGCTTTGGCTGGCC